AACTGTCAGACTGAGAGCTGGGCAGTGAGAGGTGTACAACTAAGAAAAACAGGAGAAATGTTTTAAAGGAGAAATACATGACAAGGACAAATTTTTGATTGATGTTGCAATGGGAATTAACATGGAACCAAATGGACACAGCACTCTTTTTTTCTCAATGTAGCATTGCCAAATGTAGATTCTTCCATTGATTCTCTTACTAGCTTTAATTCACCAAGCCCTTGCAAGTTTTAGCTTTGATGCCTATTCTTAACACGGATTATACAGATAGCTAACTTTGCACTGGATTCCTGGTCTAGCCAGGCTTTTTTTCCACTGAATTATTGGTGAAAAAGTGGTTGACATTTCAACTACCAGAGCCTTTCTACAGGCCAAGTCCAAGGTGGTACCGTCCCATAAAAAAAGGCTTTGTTGAAACAAATAATAAATAAAAATAACTTGCCTGGACCAGATGCAATTCCCCAAAGAGTCTGAGGAACCTCAGATCTAACACAAAATTAAAATGATGATGTGTGAGCCATTATTTCAATTGGCCTTGGTACTAGATGAGTGGAAGGTGGAAAATGTGATGCTAATAATTTCTAAGGGGCTTGAAGGTAACTGCCGAGTCTGGTTTGTGTGCTTGGAAAATTGGTAGACACCTGGCAATAGTGAAGATTCAGTGCAACTTTTGGACAAGCAAGTCATGTCTCATGTTACTATAAGAGTTCTTTGGAGGAGTCAAAGAGCATATAGAAAATTGCAAGTCAGTCAATAGGTTGTATTTGGCTTTCCAAAAAGCTTTTGACAAGATCCTTAGGGAATACTTTTAAAGAAATCAAATTGTTATTAAGAGGGATGATTCTCTTGCRAGTGGACAGTTGGCTAAAGGAAGGAAAGCAAAAAGAAAGAATGGCCAGTTTTCACAATGGTGAGAGGTTCTCAGGACACCTGTGTAGAAGTCTCTCCCAGGAATTGCACTGTCCAGCAGCCTCTGAAGAGAGTAAGTGAAACAAACTAGCAAAACAACGGAATAGCTTGGACTAAAACTGAATGAGTACATTGAAGTACAAATGAAAGAGTACATTTTTCTTCTAGATAGTAAAACAGGAGGTGGAACTCAATACTGATGAAAGAAAGGAATAATTCTCTAGTGGAGGGATATTTTGGATTCCCCTTTCACAGGTACAAAACTGCTGTTACATCTCCATACATTTCTATAAAAACCATGATGTATGGTAATCAAATAGCAAATACAATTATTGGAAATTATTAGGTAAGAAAATAACCATCAATATGTCAATGTGTAAAACCACTGAGTTGTCCTGTCTCAAAAACATTACATCAGAACTAAGCAAGGTACAGTAAAGGACCAGAGCTATAATCAGATGTATAGTATGTGCAATCTTTGTAAAGCCTAAAGAGACTAGGCCAATGCAGCTTTAAAAAAAATATAACTATAGGGAGATATAAACAGAAGTATATAAAGTAAGTGACATGCAAAAGATAAATATTAAACAATTACCCATTATTTTTCCTAAACAAGATCTTAGGAATCAAGTTCTCAGGTGGCAGACTTAAACCAAGTTAATATATTGTTTTCATTCAAATATTCTAATTTAGAATAGGCTTGGAGTTGCTTTGCATTGCACTTGGAGGCACGTGCTTTTATTCTGAGAAATGACATTTTAGTGTGGACCTGTATGCATGCACACTGACRCAACACAGCACAAATAACAGGTGTGTGAGCTTTGCTCATCATCTTGCTAATCTGTTTTATCTCAGGTTACTGCCTTGTGTGAGAGTGTAGTTTAATGGAGTCTTCACATGTAAATGAAAACACACAGCATTGTTTACTGTTTTGTAAGTTTTGTACAGTACATATATAACCATACAGTTACTCTCATGTTAAGGGTACTGCTACTGTCTGCCGAAAAAACCAATTAATATAAAATTTTCAGAGATGGTGATTTTTTGAAGCTGGCACTTTTCTCCTAGCACAAGATTAGGGCCCCAACATACTTTATTCAGTTAGCCTAAGAGTAAAAAGGTTCTTCATTCTTAATTACTTCTTCAAGCCCCACAAAACTATATTCTAAAKTGTTTATTAAAATCAGAAAGCTAGTCCTGCACTGCCTGGGGACGAAAGTTACTGCTTTTTTATCCTGAGGACATGGTTATGCAGTGAATTTCTTAATGTCAATYTCAAGTTAATTTCTTTATCTCTTGTTTAACCTGATTACAGAAGAAAATATTAACATGAGTAATTTGTTGCTGATGTGCAACTCCCTCATTTTGTGCCTTCTAACAATACAATAGGTCTTTATCCAAAATAATAATTGGTAAAGTCTATGGCTAAACCAGCCAATTAATTTGATTTACACTTACTATTCATCTGAACCAAAGGTAACTATCAACCCCAGGCAAAAAGCCCTAATTTTATTTCAGCAGCTACRTTAAAGCTAAGATCTCAGAGGAAGAACCATGCACAAAAAAAAGTATTGTGTAAGATTCACGTTTTAAGAACACAATAGTGTGTTGACCTATCCCAGAACATCAATAGCAAAGGTAGCAGAGAGGATTACAGGAATACCAGCATATCCATGACACTCTTTTAAGTAGAGCTGACTCAGAAAAACACATTTAGGAATTAATGTTTATGTTCTTTTACATTGGAAGAAAACTGGTGCAGCTATTTGTGATAGATGTTCTATTTCCATATTCTGTTAAGAGAATAGAAAGTGCAGAGACACACTCTGCTATGGATATGCAAATAGGCTGGCATAATCCTAGAAAAATAYGCAATAATTAATGCAAAGTAATCTTTAATCAAATAATTAAGTATGCCACAAATTGCAGCTAAAAAGATCCACCTCCAATAAAGCAGGGTGAAAACTAAAGTAGGATGACTAATTCAAGCAGGAAAATTCGGAAGTCAYGTAAATCTGATAACTGCTGTTTTCTTACATTTGTTTCCTCCTTTCACACCTCTGGATTTCTCACATATAGGTTTTGGAAAATCGATTTTGTAATGGCAAGTTAGTGAGCTTCTATGATATTACTATTTTATCACATCATTCCTTTTTATATTGAAGATACAGCATTTTTAGATTTGAAACATCAAAATATGGAACTACCCAGCTTTATTTTGATGTTAGCATTGCATCAAACTGATGCTTTTCTCAGCAAGATCCCAGTGAAGACACTACCCTGCATTAGCCTAATCCCTTTTCATAGAAACATTCGGGTTGGAAAAGACCTTTAAAGTCATCAAGCCCAACAATTACCCCATCACTGCCCAAGTCCACCACTGSTCTGTGTCCRTAAGTGTCACATCTACACGTCTTTCAAACACCTTCAGGGATGGTGACTCCACCACTTCCCTGGACAGACTGGCCCAGTGCTTGAAAACCCTTTTGGTCCAGAAATTTTTCAAATATTCAAATATTTGCATCTAAAGCTCGCCTAGTGCAACTTGAGGCTGTTTCCTCTTGTCCCATCACTTGTTTCCTGTGAGGAGAGACTGACCACCAGCATTTGAGCAAGGAAACAACTGTTCAGATTTGCTGCTGTAGCCAAGTCAAATTCTTTTTCTTCAGGTAGGATTGCTTTTACATCAAATAATATTTTCCAGYTATTTTGAATGTTTTGATACATTTTGTAATGTAGCTGCTCTAATGCACATTGTGTATACAGTAACTAAACATTCATAGCACCTGATTTAGTTAGTACTCATCTCTTTATGGTGCATTTTTTCTCTTTCCACAGTTTTAAAATTTCCTTTTATTGAAATTCTCAGTTTCCCTTTTCTATCTCCTTCTATAATAGTCTTTCTCACAGGGAAGATTAGCCTGTTAGGATGGTTGTAGTCAAAATGTTAATGAAACCATCTTTGTGCTACAGCTCTGCCTCATCCTTTTTTGGTTATGCACAGCTTCAGTTCTCATAGTAACTTCACCTCCAGGGTTTCAGTCTCAGATTCTTCTGGCAGGCCTGTTTCCTGTGGGCATCAGGAATGGTAGAGTGGGTGAGACTGGATACTGAGTATCTGAAAACTGATTTCCTGTTTTTCATAAATCCCACTTGATGTAGGTTCTCTGGATTGGCATAAGAAGTTTCCAAGGGTCCTTAAAGTGACAGGACATCAGCCAAGTGGGAGATTATGACACTCTTGTCAGTTTATAGCCAGCTAACACATGAAGTATGATGTGTCTCCATACATGAGTTTTATCACCAGATGGAGAAGGAAAACAAAAAATCTGTTACTGCCCCTACATTACTATTTGCTGCTAAATAAAAATATTCCTTTTGATTCCCACAGCTGTGGATTTAAAGGCAGCCAYACTGACATTAAGGATGGCAGCTATTCAGCTGCATAGGAACATGTTTTCATGAATAAGGTGCTCAGAATTTGTTCTAATGTATTCTAATGTATGTTCTATGCTTATTTCAAACACTCTCCCTCTTTCCTCCTTGACTTACAGTAGCTAAACAAGGGACATGTTTTGCATAATGAAAAGGCAAAAGAGATTAACTCTAGGTTGCCATTGCCTGCTGAAATATTTTGTCAAGTCCTGTTTCAAGGAGTCTTTTAAATCTTCTTAATGTTATGACTTTGAAGGAATATGTTCCTGTTGCGTAAGCTGAAAATRCTTCTGATAATTGCAAAGGAAAGTTTAAGAACAGCATTCAAGTTGTGACCCCTTTCAGATACATCTTCAGATGAGTATGAGTTGGAAACTTGTCATTTTCCATGAGTTAMATTGCCAGCTGTTAGTGATTTGGAAGGATTTAGGATACAGTTAAAGCAAATAGCTCTGACACTGCTTTACAGAATTTCTCAATGACAGTTTATCATATTTCTGACATTACTTCTGGACAGGAAATTAAATGCTGAGGTGACATGTTTTTTATAATTCTTTGAGAAAGCTGTTGTATAAATACTTTCATATCTATCCATACATACATATATATACATATATATACATACACACTCAAAGTCTGTAAACAGCTTTTTGGCAAATTTTACAGAAATAGCAAATCTCATGTTTTAGAAGGAAGTGATTTTTCAAGGAGTCTTCTTGCTATCTTCTGGCTAAGTTTGAGCAGAGAAGCCTAATTTCTACATCAAACTCAGTTCAGGTAAGCAGCAGTGATTGTGCTGGTATCCAGTATATTGTCATGTTTTGCAACATGTTCTAGTATGTGGCACTGCAGGATGACACCTTAGAAAACTCTCCATTGTAGCTATCCTGAGTTGCAGCCTCTTGATGGAAATAGAATTAAAAAATAAGTGGAAGGAAAAAACTACATTAAGATTCCAGAGGAATCAAGAGACAGCTGCTTTCTAAGCTATTTTCTCTATTTGACAAAAATAAAGCGACCCCATTCCTACAGTAAATTTTATATAAATAAATGACTCTGCTTAGTCATTCTGCCTGAAAGTTTCTGAATAGCCCAACAGGATATAAAAATAAGTAACTCCAAATCACTTACCACACACTACAGTGTTAATATAAAATGTCATATTAGATTRCCATCTGGCAAAGGTGGGTAAGGTAAGCATTTGTTAAGGATTATATTTGGTTATTCTCAAAGATACACAGGAAACCTCCTTATGCTTCTTTTATTAAAAATGAGGGCTTTATCTAGTTAGCAATAATAAATAAATTGTTGATACCAAGGTGGAGTTTTTAATCTATATAATGATAGGAAAACTGGAAAAATTTATTCTACACTTTTTAAGAGATAATGATGAAGCACAACAAATGTGGCAAACATTTTACCAGAAAAGGGACAATGTGTACAAGAAAGAAAGCTAAAAAGGGAAAGAAAATCTTTCTTCTGACACTCTTCAGGCAGTTAATGTGATTTACTTAAAGAGGAAAACATATGCTATAAAGAAGGCAGTAGAAACAAAGCCAAGCTATCTAAATTTGGAAAAACCCTCCTGATTTAAAGTCACATTATGAAATTGGTCATGAGAAGTCTATGAAAGCTCCAGTTGTACGGTGACACTTCTCAGCGTGCTGACGCCTGTCCCGCCCGTCCCCCCGGGAGTGGCTCCCGYATCGCCACCTGGCGGCGGCAGCGCTGCTCAGAGGGGTGAGCTCAGTGCGGGTTTATACCAACAACCTCCACTGAAAAATTCACAGCCAAGCACGGCTTTTCTTACTGCTAAAACATTCACCGTCATAAACTGCAAGGTGATAATTCTCCTTAGAAAAGTATTTTCCACTGCTCAAAATCTCCATAGTACTAGAACAAAGTAATTACACTGACAGAGGTTATTTCTTACAGTTGCACCTTCTGTGGCAGTGGTGTATCGRGGTTTGCAGATTTGTTCCACAGATAAGCTGCTTAGAGGCTGCCTCTTCATTCAGCACTTACTGGCTCAGACTACCACTTCTTAAGTGCTCATTCGTTCATGTCTCTGTCAAATTTTTAAAATACTTACCAATTATCTAACTCAAATTAAATCATGGTGGTTTCAAACACACTCTGTCCTAGGAAAACTGCATTAACTAGTTCATGCATTATGCTCCACACACTGCCATCTTACTCTCACAGAAGATACAGCATAAGTACATCTTATTTTTAYTTCCAAAACAATGCTCTCCGAGATTCTCAAGACAACGTAAGATTTAATACTGAGTTTGCATGGTGCAAAGCTTTAGGAAATACATTTATGCCACTTCCACTCATACTAAAGTAAGTGATGGCAACAAAAAGAAAGCCAGGAKATAGTGAAGAAATAATAAGGTACAGATACTTTCATGAAACTGCTTAGGAGTGGCTTRGGCAATGGCAGACCAAACAAAAAAATGGCCTTTAAAAAAGTTACTATCTACCCATTTTAAGTAGGTGGCAACATGAAAGATTTGTCTCTTTGGGATGCAGAAGTTACCCGTTATTTTGGGAGAAACACAGGCTATCAAAAGTCTAGTTGATTTTTWAAGATTTAATTCCTGCAACTTGTTTCAGCTAGCAAGCAGTGTGACACTTGCAAGACATTCTGTAATATTTGAGAAGCTGCAAGTTGCAAAAATGTTCTTTAAAGTATTCAAAAACATCTTTCATAAACTTTAAAATCAGAACAATTTCAATTAAGTTTTAATGTAAGCATGCTAAAAATACCAAAAACTGTAACAACTGTAACTGCACAGCTTCTATTTACCAGCAATTTTTATGCTTTTCCTTAATTTTATTGAGAAACAAAGCTTTGTTCCTCCACTATTGCTATACAAATTTTGCATCCCTTCATGGAGATCAGCATGATCTTTGTGTTGCTAGTCCTCAGGTTTCCTGTTGTTACTAAGATGAGGAGGTGCACTGCCAGAGACCTCAGCAGTGAGCTGAGCACGCTGCTTGGTGCTGCACCACTGGAAGCCACGCGTTAGCCTCAGACGAGAGCTGTGCTTCAGCACTACAAAGCCTGCCACTGGGCTCACTATGACATGTGTGTTTGCTGAGGCACAGGAAATGGGCTGCTATTCAAAAGCTAGTCAGCAAAAGGTAAGTAAGTTAAGTTGGAATTAAAAAAAGATAAGGTTGTATTGCAGGGCTGTCAAAAAACTCATTTTCCTACTGGGAGGGGTGAATTAGTGGATTTCACAGCAAGTGCTCACAATTTCCTTAACATACTAGCAAGGTGATGTTCTGTTCCYACAATAGGTAGACATTCATTTATATCAACCGTTTAACTGGAATCTGAAGTACTCTCTAAAATATGCAAATGGCAACAGTGAGCAGAAAATCTACTTAAAGCATTTTGTGATGAATGTTTTAAAAATTAGAGCAATGCAAGCACACTTTTTATATAGAAACCATTTTGTCCATCATTACTTACCTGAAATCTCATCACTACAGGAAGCTTGCTTCTGCAATACTTACAAACATTTTGTACTCTTGGAATTGTAGATGCTTGATACAAATATTTGTCCTTTATTAGCACATTCTCCTTACATTTATTATAAAATGATTTTGAATAAAGGTAAGTATCATGGCAGACATAGGAAGTTTTCTGCAGCTAGCAGTTATCCTTTAGAGATCACCTATGATGCCAGTTTAAGACTTCCAAGTAATTCAGTAATGGAGACAATGCACAAACAGACATGGCTAATGGAACTGGGAAATAAAGGATTTAGGCAGAAGGGGCCAGAGCAGGGATGTCAGAGAACACGTACAATCTCTACAAAACTCCCTCTCCAACAGGCCTTTTGTAAGTAGTATTGTAAGGCTGCAGAATTGTGATTTAAACCTGGTGCTTACCAACAAAGTTAGAGCTGCAGTGAGAACTGGACAGCACATGCCAGAATGATTCAGTGACCAAGCCAGRGAAAGGGCACACCATCTTTATGGTGAGCTGACATAAAACCTTCATTAGACACCGAACSATTTCATCTGAACAAGACTATGTGTTAGGCTAAACTCTAGAACAGTTTAAATTTCCACAGAAAATGTAAAATAAAACACGRTAACAGTTTTCTTATTGGACTCCTGGAGTCAATTTTCTGTATATACTGAAGTTCTCAAAATTATCTTCCATTTAGTTCTTTGCAGAATAAAAGCAAGAAGCTCCACTGATAGTACAAACTTCCTGTCTAGTTTATGAACACTAGCAGAGCCCTGAGGATGAATTAAGCCTTTTTTTAAAAAATTCTGATGCTTTTCATAACTATGCTTAGTGTAAGCTATTAGAGCTTAGTTTAACTTTGTACTTTCAAACAGTAATAAATTCTCTCCCTCTCAATTTTCTTTCAATAGCGAAACACACTCCAGAATGACACAGTACTACCACTCTCGGTGTTGCCAAGCTCACAACCAATCACACCCATCTSCTCAGAATTATCCACAGATAATGCTCCTTTTACTATAAAATGGCCACGAAGAAAAAATACATTCAGTTAATAATAAAATGATAGGAAGTGATACCCTGAATTTCAGCAACTGTGCTGAGAAGGGCTGGTTTGGGTATTATTTTGGGTTTGGTTTGCATTTGGTTTTTCTCAAAAAAAGCTGGTTTTAGCCTATGCAGTAATAAAGACAGGCATTTGATATTGCTATTTATTTCTTTTTAAAAATTAGACAATTCTCAATGTAATATTCTAGCAACATGCTACTAAGCACTCTATACATTCCTTTCTTTAGAATAATTCTTACTAGATCTTGGCAAGGATAACCAAATAAGAATTACTTTAATAGTAGCAACCAGAATTAAACCAATGGAGAACTCCTCCCCTGAATCTGACATTTATGTGAAATTGCACCACTCATATTTAATACTGTGTTGTCTTAAATAGCTGTAACAATAGAAATATTTCGTTTCTGTAACAGAAACATTGTGTGTATACTTTTTCATCCAATTCAGAATAAAAAAAATTTCCATGGGCATTAAGAGTTTCAAGTAGGGTTTCATAAGGCAGGCTTTAAAATAGTGCCTGAACCATTTCTTTGACAGAGTTCTTGATTAACATCTACACACTTTCAATAACTATTTTCAGCAGTGCAAATTATGTGTCCTCCAATAAGTTTTAATGAAAACCATTTTAATTAAAAATAGTTTGACAACCTGAATATGCAAAGTCAAACCACAGGATACTAAATACTTTTTGAGATTTGTTTGCTTATCTACAAACTGAACTTCCCTCCAACAACCCATGGTGCAGAAACAATTGTGGTAGCAATYAAAAGATTTTTCATTTGTCAGATTCAAGGTCACTAGTTAAATTATTCAGTCAGTTTTACCTTTAGCAAAGACAATCTCTTACAGGCATGTACGGTTTTGTATGTAGTTTCCTGAATTGTTTAGAAGCACACTCTTATATTCTCTATTATACAGTGTTGTGCTTTTTAACTTATTCATCKGTACCAGTTTTTAGCTGAAAATTATTGTTCAATTTGTACAAATCACCCATAATTTAAACTGTATAATTACATTTCATGTAATCTCACAATTTCATTGGGTAATTGATTCTCTACAGCTTTTTTGTCAAAAAAAAGCAATATACAACTAACAAATCCCAGTAGGATGTTTTCCCCCTCACAAGCACTGACATTACATATTTAAACACATTGAACCAAATGCTTGGGCATGTCTGATGAGTTGTGCAGAAATCAGACATGCATGCAAAATGGCTCAAAGCTCACCTGTCACAAAGGGCCAGATCCTCTTCACAGAGAGAGGAAAAATAAAGTGAATGTTTAAATTACATCAACTGTACAGATACAGTGGACCTTCAGGAGAAGGAAAGCCCTGTAGTATGCCCTCTTAAATTCTCCAGCATTTACTGTGTTAGTTTAGGAGTGCATACGGAAAGGATATATGGGACTCTATAGCACCAGAGGATTATACTTAAAAATCCCCTCGGGGCAAATTACACTGAATTTAGGGTCAGTTTAGGGCTGGTATTTAAATTTTCAGTAGCTATACTATTCTAGAGGATCTAGCCTGTACCATCATAGTGCAAATGTAACCTCTTGTTAAGATACCTTCTGGTAACAATCAAACAACATAACCTTAACAAAGAGAGGTACAGATTTTTAGTGAGGCGTGGTACATGTACCTTATTATACACCCAGGCACCTTCTTTCATTGCTGAACCATCCACTTTTCAGAAAACATTTTAAAAATAACATTTCCTTTCATAATATTAAAAGTAGATGATATGTTTTTTTTTATAGTAAATTAATAAAGTACAGTATAAACTGATTTTTCCAAAGTCATTCAGTTTAAAATGGGCACAAAAAACTATGTTAAAGAATCATTTCAGCATAGTGCCTGGTTCACAACCTTTTTTTTTGTTGAGAAAACTTTGTAAGCAAAACCCCCCACATTTTCAAGTGATTTGCAGATGGTATTTTAGGTGCCACCACCACCAGTTATGATGATGATGCTTTGCACCAACAGTACACTGTCCTACTGATAATCAACATTCATCTTCTTCAAGCGATGAAGCAGGGCATCTTTTTCCATTTGGACCTCAGCAAGAGCCATTTTGGCTTTGGCTAGTTCCTGTTTGAGACATTCGTTTTCTTCAATAAGCTGAAATGATTGGGTTAGAAAAGAAAGCTGTTAGTATTCCTGCATASTGACAACTTTCTCCATTGCAGTAACTTTTAAAATACCAAATGTTCCCATTCACAGCTGGGCGGAGRTTTGCTGAGGCTGAGTCAATTGCAACTGATTCTCAGTCAGTGAGTGTAGAACATGGAGACAGTTGATGTAATTAGCTCAAATGGCAGGAGAGCCAGTGTTTTAGCTGGGCCATTTCCATTCTGGAATGGAATGGAAATGACCCAAGGTTCTGAACTCGAGGCAGTCATGTTGTACAGAGATGAGGGAGATGAGGAGAAGAAAACTCCTTCATAATACTCCCTCTGATGTAAAGGAAAAGAATCAGTGTGCAGTGCATTATAACACTATTTAGAAAGCAGCATTAAATTGSTGAACCATACTATAATATCCACAATCCATATTTTCCATCTTGAAGTATATCCCAGGCCCACCCCCAGACAGCCTTACGATTATGATTATTAATGACTGTAACATAATTTTGAGGGAACAAGGTGAAGTCAAAATCAATTCTTAATACCTCATTTTTAAGGAAGTCAGCTGAATCCCGGCTTGATTTAGAAGGTCTGGGAGTTTCACAAGTAGTCTGCGTGGCTTGGTCCTGTGTTTTGCGTTCAACACAYCCCACTGCTTGCTCCAATGTACTGCTTGAGTTCTTCATCTTTGACACATCATTTACTTTTTGAGTGTCTAYATCACAGAAATAGTATGCAGGGCATTTGTCAATTTTTTTAAGCTTTATTCCTACCAGAACACAACTAAACCCACCTAAAACAAATATAATATTAAATACATGTATATTTGCCTCTCAAAATCAACTTTGAGGAAGAAATTTAATTAAAACTCATAACCTTTTAAAAGAAGAAAAAAAGAGTATGTAACTTCCAGCATGAAGAAAATAAGCAGATTTTTATACCCACCCATATCCTCACCAYGGAATATGCACTCTGAATAATCAGAAATTTGAGAGCTATTAATATTGCTATTAACATACTGTTTCCAGGTCTGTCTGAATACTGCATTTACATTTAAARACATAGTGAGATAAACCTGCAGGATCAAGTTTTAAAATTAGGAAATAACTTCAATTACTTGGCATTAAAGAAACTTTCTAGTATTTGTAACTGAAGTGCAATATAGAATCTGTTAATATATACTGTTGTACATCTAGGGGAAAAGCAAGGGTCATGGTTTGAGTCTAAAAAATACTCTATTCTGTTTTGCTTTTTAAGCATTTCCTTCTAAACAAGGGGTTTCTGTTCATTGTCCCTTCCTCTCTCCACACACACAAGGACCTGAAAGATGTASCACTTAAGACACATATCACTGCAGTGCAGAAGGCATTTGACCTCTGCCTTTGAAGACACTCTGAAGACCTGAGCAGTCTAAGACAAGAATAGGGATCAAAGCACTTCAGCAAAAAAGAGAAAAAAATTAACTGAAAGAAACCTTGAAATGATGTATTTTCTCATTATCTTACTAAACTTTCAATGCTTACTATAAAAAGATGAGTAAAATGCATTGAACATCTTTAACTCAATGCATTGGATAATATGCAGAAATCAAAATACAAGCAAATCATGCCACAGCATACCTCTGCAAAGTCTGGTCCATCTTTGCTATACCTTCCCATCAGGCGGAAGGGGGCATTAAGATCATCTTGCGGCCTCTAAAGTGATACAACACATTGCATATTGCTGGATTAACATATCTGGGACCTGGATGAAAGGGTGGGTGCACCCTCTGCAGGTCTGTGAACTTCACCAAATTGAAGGGCAGGTGACTGACACACTGATGGGTTTCAAAAAAATAAAAAGCTTTTTTTCAGGGGAACTTGGATGGCTGGACAGATGGACTGACTGGAGTTTCATGAAGTTCAGTGGAAGTCAATGTGAAGTCCTACAGCTGGGAGTCAATAACCTCTGGCTCTGCCATAGGTTGGGGACCAACTGGACAGAAAGCAACATTGCAGGAAGTGACCTCTAGGCCCTGGTTATTAAGATTTATCATGAGTCAGCMGTGAGCTCTGACAGCAAAAACGATGAACACATAGGTTGTATGAGCAAGGGTATAGCTAGCAATGTGAGAGAAATTGTTATTCCCCACTACTCAGCATCAGTGAGATCGTATCTGGAATACTGGATCTAGTTTTGGATTCCCAAGTGTGAGAAAGACACTGATAGCAGAGGACCACCAAGATAATTGTGGTCAAGAGCACACGATGTACAAATGAGGTGCCAAGTGAGATGCACTCGTCAAATCTGAAGATGAGAAGGCCGTGGGGTGATCTTAACGCCACCTTTGCCTGCCTAGTGGATGGGTATAGGGAAGATGGACCAGATTTGCCTGAGGTGCTTGGCAAGACATCAAGCACCTCACTCTTGAGATGGCAGGACAGGAGGCAATAAATGCAAGCTGCAAATAAGGGAATTCCAATTACACATTATAAAAAAAAAAAATCATAACAGTGGCCAAACACTGGGACAGATTATTTATGACATATTGTCTTTTTGTATTGTCTTGTGTATTTATGACATATTGTCTTTTTGATGCTCAAAATTTGCCTGGACAAGGCATTGAGCGACTTTTATCTAATCTGCTCTTGCTTTGAGCCAGGAGTAGGACCAGATGACCTCTAGAGGCTTCCTCCATCCTAGAATATGATTCTTTAACRTATCTGTGAAAGACAACTGTCAAGTTTCAGCTCTATATGTATTGTCTTTTTACAAGTATTTAGTATTTGCCCATGTAAAAATCCTCTCAGCACATATATGCTACATGAAAAGTACAAAGTTAAATCACTGTTCTAAATGCAAGTTTCAATGCAGGCTCAGCCTTGAGCTGCCAGGACAGCACCATAATACAGAGAATTGGAAGCTGCTGCTTGTATATCTTAAATAGGTTTTTGTTTTACAGTAGTTTCTATTACCTGTAACACAAAACCACAAAGACGGTAAGCACCTTGGTAAGCTGTAAAGAAAGGCAAATTTTTGTTTGCTTTGTAGCGACAAAACTTTTGGGAACCCTAAACTTATCATGATGAAGTGCTATGCACTGATGAAACGTATCCTGATGAAATTGTATTTTATTTCTCTCAGACTGATTAAACTATGGGTTATCACAGGCAATACACTATTCAAAAAGGTAATCTTCCTCTTTGAATTAAGGCATATGGCAACACAGCTTGCACAAATTATCATTAGTTATCTTTTCATAATTAGTCACATATACGCACAACGGAAAAAACAACAGGATTACAGAACTGAGATATCAAGGTGCAGGAACATACAAACCTCTAATGAGAAAAGTGCCATCATCATTTCTTTCTATCCACAGTATGTCAATATGCAGTTTTATGGGCACCAGCTCAGATACCTTKAGATTTTCACGTGGACTGTCATCCTTGAAAATACATATAATCAAAAATTAGTTTACTAGGAAATCAAAATTGATAATTAGAATGTTCATTTAAACATWATGAATTTGATGAAACTTGAAAGGAAACATTTCAGAGCAGGATTTTCTAATGGGATCTCCACTAAACTTTGGCTCCATTTTTCTTTCCCCAGGGATCGTATTAAAGGCTAAAAATTATCTCTGGAGTAAGTCTGCTGAACTCAATATACCATCTGACTAAAATACTTCAAAGTGTTTTTACAGACATCTCAGTAAGATTATACCCCAACCCAAGACATTCATAAGCTCAGGGGCTCTCTGAGTCACAGATAAGAAGCCTGTACTATCTAGTATCTGATTTTCCCTTGAACTATTTAAAGGCTGAATGGGTACAGCTATCATTCTTGAGCAGATTTTGTCTTTTTAGAATTTAGTTTAGGATGACACCAACTGCAGTTTAGTTATATTACTGTACCCAAAAGAAGAAAACCTTCACAAATTACTTCTCTGGCATCTCCCCAGGAAGTCTTAACAGTTCATTTTCCCGATCAAACATAGTGCAGCCAAATTATCAGGAACTACATGTATCAGCACTAAACATGTACCAAGAAAGCTGTTGAGATATAGCTTCTAAAGTTKTTTGAAACACCACTGAGATTGCAGCAGAAAATGCAAACAATAATCTTTCCTTAATTTCCCCCCTGCCATGAAACACAGTSTATCAAGTCTCATGCAGAAGAAATAGAAAAGCATACTCCATTGAACAGGCAGTGCAGCATACATTCGAACCATATCCTCTCACTCTCTATTACCCAACAATTCTATAGAAATGGATCATCTCTGTGTCAAATTTTCACTTTGTCAGCCATCATGAGTAACTTCACCATGACTTGTGTGCACTGCTGAGTGAACACATCGGTGCTTTTGCTGCCAAGCAGAATCTTGTTGCCAGTTTATTAATGTTCATTTCCCATCTCAAGCAGCTGCTTTCCCAAGAACATTTTGCTTAAGTCTGCCTTCTTGCCAATAAACTGGCACAATCCTGGTTTTAAATGCAAATGACTGTATGTAAAGACTTTGCTATTTGCATTTGGGCATTCATGTTTGTGATCCACTGAAATCTGAGGAACAGATTCAAAGAAGATGCTTGTGCTAATCTTGTACAGTAGAAACATCTCTAAAAGAATGTCCAAAGATCCTCTGGGGATGGAAAGGCTGTATCACTAAGGGAAGTAAYACTGATGCATTTTAAATAGAACACAAGACAATTGCCTTTCCASTCAATAATGATCTTGGCAGAATCAAGACTTTAGCCCCAGATGTAGAACTGGAGCTGCTCTTCCTTGTTTGAGGTTTATATGGCTGATTATTACTGTTCAAAGTAATGCAATAATTATCTTTATTTTTCTATTCTACACGCATGATAAAACTGCCCTTATTTTATACTCAGTGATTGTGCAGCACAGAACTCACCATCTTTTTCAAGTGTCTGAAAGAAAATCCCCTAGGAGACTTGAACAGAAGTGTCCTCTTAATGTTACTATTTTAAGCTATGGTGGTGAAARATGCTTGCATTGTTTAGTATCTGTTTCTAGTAGAGCTGAACATGAAATTTGGGTTGTAAGAAAGAGTGTTCAAGTGGTTTGTACTGGAATTCCACAACCTTTTTCCTTCTTTTGTACAGAACTTTAATTGCAAGAACTATCCTCCAACTAGGAGAGAGAAATAACCTTTAAAATCCATAGTTGGTAATTAGAAAACCATATACTTTGCTAAGCAAAAAGGTCCAGCCAGAAACACCCAATTCTAGAAGCTTGATATACCTTACATATAAAATTCTGAGACACTGTCACTCTATAGGAGAGATTTGGGAGAGGAGGAAAAAGTACAAAATATTAATTCATACAAAAATCTTGGTCATGAAGATAAATCCCCTCCAGGCATACCACAGAGCTAACCAAATCTATGGACTTTTAAATTGTTTTTGTGTTATCTAAGGACCTTCCAGAATATGAAAGCAGTTTCTTTGAAGTTAACTGTATCCAGATTAGTAGTTTATCATCAAAGAAACAAGAACACTTTTTTCTTAGAGCAGCCAAATATCTTATTGTTAACATACTTTTAAATTAATCCTTGCATTMGAAACTTTTATCTTCATAGGCATCACTTCTGCGACAGTTTCATCTTCTAGAAAATGCTGAATGTTTGTGAGAGAAGATGTTAGAAATTCAGCACTGAAGTTCTCCACATGACACTGAAGAAATCCATTTTTTACAGCTAGCAGGGAATGTACWGCAGCACTAGGCCCACTTTCCCATCTCAGACTAATCTCAGGTGATGAATTAACAGGTCCAGCCACAGATTTACAGTCAGAACCTGCTGCAGAAAGAAAACAAATTTGCATTAAAATTTTGCAGTGTACAAAAGAATCAATTATGATGTAATTATTTCTGCCTCTACTGTCCAATTGATTTTCCAAAAAGTTCCGTAGAGCTATTATCCACAAAAGGCAGTGTTGCAAATACAGAACTTCAGACCAAATTTCTAAGTATATCACTTCAAAAATACAGAGTACATACAAGGACTAGTACTTCCCTGTGATAAGTGAAAGGACAATGCAGAAGTATCACCATCCACAAAAAAAATTGTATCTCCTTGGTCCTTTGACAATGGAAAACCAATTATTTTGCACACTTTTTAAATTTAAGTAGCTCCTTAAATTTCAATTCAGAAAAACATTAAAATCAGTTTGCTCTCTCAGGAGAGCAGGTATTTCCTTGAAAAGGCTGAATTTCCTGACTTAGGAATCATAATGAGCAATGCAGTAAGGTAGAGAACATGACCACATCCATTACTTGAGAGGCAATAGACTTGAAYCTTAAAAAAACTCTGGCACTTTCTGGTTAATTTCAGTACCTTAATCAGCAAGGACAATTGCAACGTTCAACTAAAAAAGTTCTAAAAACCACAATAAACTAAACTAAAGTAAATTAAAATAACAATTTAAGGGAAAAAGATGGCAGGGGGTGAGCAGTATCCATTTCTTGTACAAAACAGTTACCCCATGGGATTCTCAAGTTATCTCACCACTATGATGGCTGACCTACAGAAATCATCTCTATGACAAGAAGCATAATCACAGTAACTACAGAAAAAAAACAAACATTGAAACTTGAAAGATACCTCAAGAAAGAAACTCAAGAAAAAGCAACTGAGGTGTATTAATTGATCATGCAGCAGACACTATCTGAAGGAACAGGAACCTGACAAAGTAATTAATTTGCTTTCCTCTCTGTAGATTAATTGGGTTTCTCTTCCTGTATAGTGTGCCAGTTCATGGATGACCTGGCACAGCAGCAGAGTCAGGACTTATGCTCTTATCTACTGGCACTGGAGTCAGGGTACATGGACACACTGTTGATCTGGGCTGACAAAGACCAATGGCAAGATGAACATGAGAATCTCCAGCCTCTCCTGTGAACCCGAACCTCTCCCTTTGCTACCTCTGTGAATAGAGGTTTCCACAACACCAACAGCCATGACTCCATYCTTCAATCTTTCCAATGTTTAAGAAGTGCTAAAGCTCATATTCCCCYTCCCCCAAAAATCYCACCCCAAAAAACAACCAAACAACCAACCAAAACCATTCTAYAAGTATCAGCTACCTTTTTAGGTCTAGTCCAGACAGAGGAGAATAAACTTCCATCAGCCCTGGARAAGAAGGGCTTTTTCCAGATAGAAAAACAATGACCACTCTGTTCAATGAATCTCTGCAACTGGTTTGGGAAACTTTGTTTCCCTCAAGGGCTCATATACATACCAAGAAATAAGCAGTAGATGCCCGAAGTATTTCTGCACCAGAAAAGTGTGCCTGTATCAATGCTGGAAGAATCCAATGTACAGAAAAAGAGCTGAGGAAAAGGCCACATATTCAGTCTGAGTCTTGAATCCATTTCAGTTATCTTGCAGATACATGAAAGGGACAGCATCAAGGGAAGATGGAGTAAAAACAATTTGGAAGCTGCTGTGAATTGCTGTTCCCTTCTCTCAGACACGGCAAGCATGGTAAAATCTCAGTAAAAGAACATCCCTCCCRCAATACCTCTGCCACACTCCATCCCCACCTTCTTTTGTTTTTGCTGCCACACAAGATGTGATAAAGTTGCAGTGCTGCATCCAGCCCTGCAGGGAATTGCACAGCTGCCATGTTGCCCTCAACTTAGTCCAGCCTTTAGCCACATTTTTCCCTTTCTACAYTCAGTGCATTAACAGTATAGTAGGTTTTTAATGGTTATTTTCATCCARAAGGCTTTATAGACTGTAATTATAAATTGAGTATTCACTGCTTTGTGGGGTTCCTCAGGTTACTGGTTATAATTGATAATTAAGCACTTRAGAAAGTTTTATTAAAGGTCTTGAAGGGGGAGGTTGCTTTTATTGGGATATTATCATACACATTTGCTCACTTGTTCTTTTAGTTATATTTGGTTACCATTAACTCTTTTAAATAGTCTCTTTTGTTTTGATTCTCAAGCTTTTTCCAAACTTTTCCTCCCTTTGTTCTTCTAATAGAAATTAATATGGGAGATGGGGAGCAGCTGCAGAAGACTCCTGACAGTACAGAGATCACAGCCCTATGGTGGAGAGAAGAAAAGATCATTTGGGAGAAGATGTACTTACAGAATGAGAGTGACCAGCAATGCACAAAAAAAGTATTGTTGGCTCACCCATTTGGGTACCCATAAGAAAGAGAAAGGAAGAGATATGAACCGGAAGTGTTTGGAGATCCCAATCATGTTATAACTTTTTCATTCACAAAATAATCAGACAGTATACAAGCCTCTCATTATCAGCTGAGGCAGAGGAAGCAGGTTTTAGCTGTAGATACACACAAGAGCAGGAAGGTGGCATGTTCATATTATTTACTCCCTCTGGCTTYTCCAGAGGATATGGCAGATAACCAGAAATCAATCTGCCTGCTGTATGAACTGACGCTCAGCCATGAATCCTCCCTGCTGGACCTCCTCCTTGCCTTCAGATGCTTGAACAGAACACCATGCAACAGCTGCTCAGGCAGCAGCTGCTGGCAACAGCTCAGCTTACCAGTAAATGGGCTCTTGAGCCAGGTGATCAGAGGCTGTATCTCCTCYGAAGGTAAAGCACGACCTCCTGAACAAAATCCATGCTGATGGAAGGTAGGAACAAAAAATGGCAGCCAACAGCTGCTATAGCTATTTCCAGGGAAAGGAGATGAACCAGAAGCAGGAGGCAGATGCATAAGGGATCTGCCCCAAAAACCCTACAGTGCAACAGAGTTTGCATCCAGCAATCCATGTAGAAGGCTGGCAGAGGGGAGCAAAGCACACTGTGACATGAACTGGCATGCCAATACACCATGCCAAGGAAAGAAACCTCACCCTATGACAACATGGTTTTCTGGCAAAGAATAATTTTTTTAAGTTTCCTTAAACCACATATTATGTCTATTTAAACTCTGTGTGTCATTTAATCTAAAGAAACTGATCGTGAAAAGAAGAAATGTTCCTTCAAAGGAAGGTACGTTAAGCAAAGTACTATTAGAGTCGTGAGGGAGTTCCATCTTCATGAAACAGTAACACAATGGAATGCATTGTGGTTTCACCCCCCCAGCAACCACGCCCCATGCAGCCTCTCACTCACAGTGAGATCGTGAGAGAACTGTAAGGGTAAGAGCCAGAAAACTCATGGGTTGAGATAAAGACCGTTTAATAGGGAAAACAAAATCCAAAACCTAGTCCCATACTAGTCACTCTGAGGACAATTAATTCTATTCCAGCCAAAAGAAGCACATAATGCAGCTTACTTCACTTTCAAAAAAGCAAACTAATGATCAGAATTCARTGCAATGCACCTTTTTACCCACATAATCATACACAGTTCCTTTTATTTATTCTTCCTTTTTAATGTATGGCAATGAAGAAAGAAATCAGAGTTCTAAATCAGCATAAAAAGGATGCTATTGTACTAACACAAAACTGTGTTCGCAGTTTTATTTACTTAGAAGTAAACACTTTAGAACAAGTGTTTCCAGCTCAAATTTCACCACACTGAATTGTTAGTTCTTACCAACAGTTCTGTTACACAGATATTGTCGAACRCCAATATTTCCCAGTTGGTTTGGTATCACTTGGTTGACCTGTAGACATATTTCTGTGTCATCTCCTCTGATGTCAATTTCACCATTAACACCAAATACTTGAAAAACCACAACAGACATCTGTCAACAAAACCCAGATAAAATAAAGTAAGATTATAAAATGAATTTACAGTCACTATTGTTTATAAGGCATGCCTAAACCTTTTCYATCACAAAAGGAAGAAAAAAAACTTTGTATGCAAAATCCCTGTTCCCAGAGAAGCACCAMGTTTTCTCATTTCTTCATTAGCTTCATAATGGATTGTCCAACAGCCCTGTCCAAAGACAGATACTTGTATTTGTGCCCCATTGACACAAATTCAGAATAGGCTAGAAAAATCATGGAAGTGAGACAGAGTTTCCTTACTCTGAAAGAGAAGCACATGATCTATGTGATACCTGAAATGTCAGATATCTAACATTACCTACAACATAGCAATAACTGCATTCAACTTTRTGCATACCATCAGCACAACCAAGCACTTGCAGTGCTGAATCAGACCAGGTTAAAGAGCTAGGATAGGCTACTAATCTTTGGCTATCTGCATAGTAGTCAGCCTTTTTTCTCTATTACTGTGTTGCAGTATTTTTAAAACAGAAGTAGGAGCCAGTTTATGTCAGCTTTGGTACCCGATGATGTGCATTCATCATCATTACTACTATTCGGGGGTCGTTTCTCTAATGACTTGAAAAATYACCTCTAAAAGCAACCATTTGAGTTCTGTTTTAAGGTTTAATTTACAGAAGCATGTATTCTAATGGAATACAATAATATTACCATTTCTTCACTAGTCTCACGGGCATTTTCTGAAGCAGCACTCATGGCATCTGGAGATGACCCATCGCAAGTCTCAATCACTGTGCTTCCTTCGTGGRCATTTTCTGATGGGCTTTGATAGTTGATGGCTGTAATACCTTCCATATATAAATCAGAAAAAACTCAAAGTTAGCACAACCTGAATCACTCCTACACTACACTACTAAAGTCAGTGTCTGTTACTGTATGCATACATTAACTCATTTTTTAACATGAGCTGAATGACTTATTGAACAAATATTTATAATTGAACTGCCAAATCCATTCCTCTTACAGAGAGTTCGAAGTTCTAGATGCTAATCAAAAGTAAAGCAGGATAYAGTGACAAAAGCAAATCAGCACTCTACATGCATTGTTAAAAAAATCTCTGAAGGGCATTTTTCAGTCCTSTAAACCAAATAATATAAATGTGATCCGGCTGGAAAAAAAAAAATTCCAAGTTGTGTATCTAAAATACTGCACAGTGCCTTTAGAGCAGATGTTTRTGGTTTTATGTCTAGAGAAATAAGCTACATATATTTTCATTAGAGCAATCATGAGTGTTTCCTTGACAACTGGAAAGCAGAGATACTTAACCTGCAGTTAAATATTGTGTAACAASCTAAAAAGACATATGAAGTTTATTTAAAATGGGAAATGTATTTTATGACATACTCCCACATAAGCACATGCAAGAATACACCTACAATTCAAATATATAACAGGCTTGCAAGTAAACCAGTCTTCTCATTATTGCTCTAGACTGAAAAGAAATCATACAGAAAAAAAAAACCAGTCAGTCTTTATTCAAAGTAGAATTATCAGAAATGAGATACCAATAAGRTCTTCTCATGTTTTCTGACATTAGAAAATTATTTCATCAGTACATACACAGRTGAGCAAAAATGGGACAAATATCAATTTAGCCACGCAATAGACAGGAATTGGTCCTTAAGAGATGAGCTGCAAGGAGACTACCAAACCTATCTGCCTKGTAATTAGCATGGTGAGCATTTAGTAAAAACTTTTTTCTTTTTTATTCACTTATAAMATGAAAGCTTCTTTACGACTTCCAAGTGTAACCCTGATTCAGGGAACAATCTGTAAGTACATGCAGCCAAAGCAGTTGCTTTTAAACGTAGCAAGGAACAAGTTCTGCTTAATTCAGATTTGCAACACMGCACTTCAATGCTCTTACTTTCATCAAGAGAAGAAAATTAAGCAGTGTTAAGATTAAATAGTGCTGCTCAAGTAGTGCATGATATTGCTGTCCCTTAAAATGCTGTATGATGAATATATTTGGTTTACCAAGGAAGGTAACAAAAATAGTCTCGTCAAGTGTCCAGGATTTGCTGGACTAGAATYCTTTTGAGCATAATTTTAGTAACAAACACCATTTTCACGTATTGCTTAAACATATTTTGTTAAACCTACTTACCTTTTTCCAGAAAGCTTTGACTATCACTTCCATCGCTCTCTATGAAATGATCCTCCAGCATCATACTATCAATAGAGATGGTATCCAAAGAGACTTGTGATGGACTTCTCTTCATATTTTTGTAAGAAACAGAGAATGCAGGGAGGTTGGACAAGCAGCGTTCCTTGGGCTTAGCACTTTTAAAATATAAAAATATTAGSAAATTATTATTTCAAACTAAAGTAAATAATTTGAAGCTACTTTAAAAAATTCTTCTAACCCAGGTATGACATAAAAGAAAAATGGTATTATTCAATAATATTTTGATAAAAGAAAAAGAGGTAAATGCAGAAACAATATACATTCATCTAGGTATTTGTGTCAATAGTTCTCTCAATACTTACTTCCTAACATTTAAACTGAAAGTAAATRGTTTAAATTGACTAAYACTTCATTTTAGCTTTCACTGAATGCTAAATACTGCATAACTTCTTACATACTTTAAAATTTTTCATCTACTAGAACATAGAAACACWGAAGAGCCTGAGTTGGAAGGATCACTGAGCCCAACTCTTAAGATGTTTCCTTTCTGACTGCTAAAAGTACYACAAGTCTGTGGCCAACAAGATTGCTAAATATTTTCAAAGAGTAGGAAAACTGATTTAGTATTAAATCTTCTATACCTTGATGAAGACTGGGATGCAAACATTTTAAMTGAAGTCACTTTGTCTTTGTTGATTTCAAGCTCTTCAGATTCTAAGGCAGTTTCTGTTTCCAAGTCACAGACTTGGTTAGGACAGCCTTCAGTTGTGCCTTCCTGTTCATTTAACTTRTTTGAGAATATGTTTCTGTCATCCTCTTTGTCAATGAAAAATTCAGTAGAATCTTCTCTCTTATTTAGAATGGACACCAAATCCCTAGGATTCAAGCTACTTTTCTCACTCAGAGTTCCACAGACCTCCTCTGAATCACTTCTACTAAAAAGTCCACTGCTTCCTCCTTCACTTGTATCTCCCAAACCTTTATCTGATGCATCATCTGAAAATGACATTCCTTTCTGAAAATCCATATTACTGTCTGATTTAAACAAAAGAGGATCTATTAAAATCCCTTTATTAACTTCAGCATTCAGAGGCTTGCAGTCATTTACATAATCAAAATTAGTCATACCAGCTTCTGTTATCTTACTACCAACTAATTTACTCTCTGAAGTAAGAGCTTCCCCATTTCCCACAGGAGAGAGTTCTGATGCAGTGGGACTTCCTTCTTCCTCAACAGGAGACTTACAAGGGTTTCCCTGAGACACTGGATGAAGCAGTAAGGCTACTTCTGCACTTTTCAGTAGGATCCCAATGCAGATATCTGTTTGCTTCGCAGGTTTTCCTGTCACTGCCTCTACGTCATTCCTTAAGTTTTCCAGGAGCAATACAAGAGATTCATGGAGAAACAGCAAAAAAAGATACTGGTAGTGATTGATCTGCACACTGACATGTTTTTGAACATGGACAAGAACATGTACATCTGCATCAGAAGAGCTTTCAGAAAGCACTCCTGAAGTCTCAGACAGTTGGATGCCATTAGTCAAGGGCTCTGCCTCACTGCTGTAATACTCCTTCAGAAGTTTCTTACGTTGCAATCTATTGGAGAGATCACTAGATTCACTTTTTGGAATGTTCAAGGCTGGCTGATTATGTGATAAAAGTTCTTTTTGTGATTTTGCAAATCTTACTGGCTGGCAAATCCAAAGTGAAAGCGGGAATGCGTCCACAAAGCTAACTGGTCGGCCTTTCTCACTTTTTGTCCCTTCATAATCTATCCAAAACTGGGAAAAATGCACTGCCCAAACATCAGTAGCTGCAGATGTCTTTAAAGCATATTTATTCAACTCTGGGATGATATAACCTTTATAAACATCATGCATTTTAGTATCTTGTTCATGCGCATGTCTCTGGAAGATTGGATGCAAAAGATTAAAATTTTTAGGGGATTTAGGAAAAGTGGTGAAAGTTCTACTGAAAAATTCGGAGTCCTTGAATTTCTGAAACAAAGCTTCTAAATCAGAGTGTCTGCAGTTTGGTGAGCATCTGTTATTCGTAGCAATCATCTCTGAACTTTGAATGGAAAGTGCACGAGGTTGATCTTTATGAATTTCAGGTTTGTTTTCAAACGGAATTATGATCTGAAAGGGAGAAATACATTTCTAGTTAAAAATACAGAGATTAAGAAGGTATACAATTAAAGAAACAAAATAATACCCATGACAGCTGATACAAAGGAATATAGTTATAGTTTTATGGGAAATCAAGCACAGAGATGCAGCAAGGGATGTCAGGCTCACTGAATATGATTTATGCTTTCTCTCATTTTTAAGAACAATGCTGTGGCATCAATATTTGTACAAAAACATAAGGGTCTGAGGCTTTTCTTCTCTGAAGGTCTTAAATTTAGTTCGGCTATATTAGGCAGAAGTGGCTCACTTCTTTAACTCAAGCAGCTTGGGAGAAAGTTTCTTCAAGTGTTTCAAATATTTACTTTTGAAAAAGAGAGAATTGTAATTCGGAGTTTGATCTGGCTTGTCAGATAGGGGTTTTCACCATACCAAGAATTGCAGTATTTTATTTTTACGTTAAGATACAAGCAAAAAGTTAAATGTGCTAATGCAGCTAATATTCCTAACATTGCAGAATACAGAATAGGTATTTTTGACAATTATCGAATAATCATAATACATATGTTTCATCAGAAAGAAAATAATATTTTTCAACTCCTAAAAAGCAGCAAAATAGTTCAACACACTGCAATTAATTTAACTTGCATATTTTTAGTGCACATTTTAAGGTAAACATATATTATGCCAAATCCTTTATCTAATATTGTTATGATGGACCTTGGCTACTCTAGCTTTGCTAATATCAGTGATGCTACCTTCTATCACAACACCTCCATGCTGAATCTAGAAAGTAGGAGAAAAAAATTATCCCAAAGACACTTGAAGATGGGGGCAATGAAACTTCTTCATATAACGACCCAGAAAAAATAACCAAATAATTAACTATATGATATGTAAACATCAAGCACACTATTAAAATACTCTTCATTATCTAGAATAAAAATAATGCTGATAATACAGGGGTGACATAACCAACATGAATCAAAGTTTAAGGGATTTGAGAATGTTTGTCTTCTCTTAGTTTAGTAGGCTATTCACATATAATAATTCAGTATCAGCTCAATCTACATTTGCAGTTTTCTAGYTAAGTTTGCTTTTAATARCTGCTTTTATTCAGTATAAACCAACTCCTTGTAAAGTTCCATTAAGTATATAGTGAAAGCTTAGAAAGATAATCATCTCCACATATGATGACTTTCTAAAACCGTTGAAACCTCTCCTGTGGGCACCACTGAGAAGACTCGTTTTGCTCACCTCTGAACCTTGGAAATAATCYAATAAAATTACCAAACAAGGGCTGGTGATGGATGGGAAATTTATCTGCTCAAAAATCCTTTCTTTACAGAGACGAAAAAGACAAAGGAAGTAAAAATTTGATGTTCAGGTGCATTAACAAGCACCACTCCTCTGGAATAAGCATCCAGAGAACTTGTGTACCTGAACTACACCAACAGCCAGCATGAAGTACAGTATATAGCCAGAAAATGGGTTTTGGAGAAGGAAATAAACTTTAGATGAACTGTTTTCTTTACTCTAGGCATTCACTAACAAGATCAAAGAGTTTTGATATAATACAACCAGAGGAACTAGGGAGGACCCTGCATTAATATAGAGTACAAATATTAATCTTCATTAGTTCTTTTTACTTTAGTGTTCAATTTCTTTTTAGTTCGGCTATGCCAAGTTCACTAAAAATAATTTGTTACTACTCCCATTCAGGACTTCAATACAAAACCAAAATACCCCTAGGACACAGATGAGGGAGTGCAGGAGACAAGATGGCTGTCTTCAAACCATCATATTCTGCAGAAGTTTTGACAGTAGCGTTGTTTTCATTCATTTGTGTATTTATTTCTGAAGTTGCTTTGCTAACAGCTTTTCAGAGTAAGAGAAGCAATAGYCTTCMAAGGAACCACAAAACCCCTCCACASTGGCAGCATACCTTTAACATTAGTCCATCCACTCTAACATCAACATGTTCATCTGATTTTGAATTGTCATTTAACTTGTACATGGCCATGAACTGAATAAGRCTCTGTTTCAAATCCAACACAAACTGATTCAGCCAAAGAATACTTCTCTCATCCAGGGTGAACTGTAAAGCGTTCAGCTGGCCATACAAATTTGGACATGGAACTAAAAGAGAAAAGAAAACAAAACCATGAGAATAAGTAAAATGTTTATGGGTTGGGKTTTGTTTGTTTTTTAAATGATTGCAAACTTACATTTTCAGCAGTACTTTTCATCAGAGAAAGAACACAAACCTGGTCCTTTAGACTCAAGGAAGAATAAATTGTTAAGTGAAACCTGAAGAGGTATTTCTTTCTCTCACTCCGAGCAAGTAACTGAATTTTTGAGTGTAAGAAAACTAAGAATAGAATTGACATGATGAAAGGGGAAAAATGTTCTCATTACAGAAAAAGGGCAACAGCATGGAAATTTGCTGTCCCCAAGTCCTAGTTTTCTAGTTAAGTTTGCTTTTAGTAACTGTTTTTATTCAGTATAAACYAACTCCTTGTAAAATTTCATTAGGTATATAGTGAAAGCTTAGAAAGATAAACATCTCCACATATGCTGACTTTCTAAAAGTCTAGAAATCCACTAACATTTCTGTATAYATACCAGAACTGGTCACAGAACACATTCCTACAAATAACTCCAGCAGGTCTTTGTTGCATTTTAGATATTACTGCAATAGTTYTTTTATGTAGCCAGACAGTGAAATTGCAGAAACAATATGTGGATGTTGGAGAATGAATAATTCATGTGCCAGTAAAAATGTCGCAAATGCTTTAAGACTGAAAAGCCATGCTTATAAAAATCAGTACTAACAGGAGTTTGCCAGRAGCAAGCAGTGTGGAAATGAAGCAGTCTTGTGCTCAACTCATTTTAGAAAACCATASTTATTTCCAAGTTTTAAGCTTCACAAAGGTGAAAGCAACACACAAAATTTATGCTTCAGGACAAAAAAAAAGTCTTACTAGGAAAGTCCTTTCCATCTGGGTAGTAATATTCAGTGAATTCAATATGAATAGCTGGCATTTCTGGTGGAAGGTAAAGTGACTTTTTATTGCAAGAGATCAGAGCTTTAGGGGAAGACCGACACTGGTCTGCTGTCGAAACCTGTAAAAAGATAAAAGATTATTTCATTAACACATTTTCATGAATCATTAAGGGTTTGTAGTTGCAAGGTATTATCCCTAGTAAGGTAACATTCCACTRCTCTTGGGTGTAGATCCCCAAGTACAACACAAAGTGCTGACAGTAAGGAAGACTTAATTGCCTTSTAGCAGGAAAGATTTGCATAGAACAGTTTCACAAAAACTGYTTTAMAGATAACASATCCCCTTCCYTMACACGAGGTAAGAGGCAGCAGGTCACTTTCAAAGGTGTTCAGCAGAAGACTAGAATGTTCTGATCTTTTATTGYAAATACTACAGCTCCTGTTTCAGCATTTATGCTTGGATGGAGTGTATTTCCACACAGTCTGGTCTAGATAAGGTAGATAAGTTTATTCCACACATTGGGAAGTTCTTGTATTGTCCTAAGAATAAATTCCAATACACAGGAGGACTCTCAAACTGTATGCTAAACAAGGTGTTCAGCATGCACCTGGCAGAGATATGTATGCTTGGATAYGCCTTAAGGTCTGCTTCATAGGAGAATCAGGACAGCATGGAGCAGTAACCTTCATTTGTTTCCTTACAATGYATGGAACAAGTAAGAAATCAATATTTGATATATATTTGACCCTAAATTTCATTGAATGTATCCTAGGTTAAAAACTATGCAGCCAAAACAAAGCTCTTTCATTCGACAGTTAGTAGGTCAAACTGCTTGTTTGAAATTAACCAATGTATTAATATTGAATGTATGGTGATGTCTACTAGAATGAGTTTCAGTGGAAATAAGGAATACATGACCTTTGTAAGCCTGCTTCACTCTATGTAGGTGTTTTTAAGAGGCAAACATCTCTGCATTAACACACACAAAAATTAAAGTAGAATGATCTATTTAGAAAAATAGCTTTTAGGAAATCGCACTAAAATAATGACCATTTAAAAACTGAAAATGTGTCTGTGTAGAGTGGAGGAGACAAGAGTGGAAGGCAAATGGAAACATGAACAGTACAAAACAATATTATAAAACCACTTTAGATCCAGATAAAGACTCCTAGCAGCAAACCCACAACACCAGAAGTGATATGGCAGAAAAGTGTTGGAACAAGAGCAAGCAGAAATCACAATGACAAAGGACACACACAAAGCATTTTTGTTAGGACTTGAAATTAAGAGTAGATGCTCCCATATCACTACCATTCTGCCTAACAGATACACTCATCAATTCTGTTGCCTCAGAACAGCAACCAGCAACCAAAACTACTCATTCTAACAAAGGGGAGGGGGATGGAAATGGTTAAAGTGTCTGCTCAAAATACCACTGGTGAGGAAAGGACTGGGAAAGTAATTAAAAAAACTTTAAAAACCTCTTAAAACTTTTTTATGTACTTTGAAAAATAAAACAAAAAGAAAAGCATGATATACAAAACCAYGTATTGAATAGTGGGCACATAAGATAGTACAATGAAAACATGAAATTTAAATTCCAAATTCATAATTTGTAGAACAGCAGAACTTGGATCCAATACATAATTGTGACAGGATCACAATTTTAACAAAGCAAAAGAAGGTCCATAAAGGTCTAATCCAATAATGAATGGAAAGACTTATTCATTTCATTRGGCTTCATAATTGTCCCTAAAAAAMCACAGTTACATAACAGCCAAGAGTGGAGTAGCCCCACTTTTACTAACTTGAAGAAATGTACCTGATATATATTGAAATCTGCAAGTCTAACCACAATAGGACTAGACATCAGTTTGCCCTTTGGTTGTTGGGAAGATACAGAGGAAGCCCTAGATGTTCCTTTCGGTATCTGTTCCTTGCCTGCAGGAAAGAACAGTGATGGAATCATTGAAAAGAACAGTCTTTTTTTTTTAGTTTTAATATTTCATGGAAGTAGAGAATTAGTGATGTAAACAAAGCACCTGTTTGAAGGTTCTGAGGAGATACAGCAGGCGGTGATTTGGGAGGAGAATCTATGACCTGATCCTTCACAGCCTGCTTAAGCAATTCAACATTGCTTTTGAATTCATTTAGTAATTCTTCGGCCCATCCACTTCTGGCTTTTGTGGCATCACTATAATGCATCCAGTGATCACAGCTGTCTCCTGCAAATAAGACAAATGGGGAAAATATTAATTCATTTGAAATCTTGCTTCTAACAGGATAACAAGTYTCCACTATTTCACAATTATTCTTCAAAATATAAGCTCATTGCATGCTGTAATTGTGGAACAACAGAAGTCATACCAGACATTAAAACAGAAGTTATTTATTCCACAAAACCAAGTCTCTTAACTTCACAAAATCATTGTCAGCTGCCTTATAACGCCACTAATGCTCAAAACATGATTRAATATTTTCAGTTCAGAGGAATTTTATGACAATTTAATGTCATATATGAGACCATGCAAAAAACCGTTCAATTTTTTTTAAAAAGTGAGAGCAAGTAACAAAACTATGTTCTCATGCTCATTTTTTCYGAGCTTATCTTTCCTGCCAGAACTGTGTCCTAAGGAGTTCCTGGTCCCTTTTCAGAAATGCATTCTTTTTGTCTTGGTTCTCTATCACCTTCATGGCACACAGACAAGAAGGTAAGTTCAGGTAGTGCTGCAGCACACACAGCCTTAAAAATCAATCCCAATGGAAATCCATTTGTTCCTGTTTCCAATTCCAACATGTTTCTGTTGGTCAAGCATTCAAACCTCTGAAAGAAATTGAGATATGTTCAAACAGTCCCTGTAACAACATTCTACTAACCTGTTCAATAACAAGGATACAATAACAAATAACTTCTACCAGTTGGTATATCACTCTTTAAATATTACCATGTGAAAACTTATCTTTTTTGGGACTTAATGAGTTTTTGAATACTTATACTGGGGATGAGTAAATATGTTTGCTATTAAAATAGGAAAATTATTTTGGAAAAAGATGTGATTTCAAGTTTAAATATAAATATTGCAGCATTGAAGAAACTTTCAGAGAGGGGCCAATCACAAAAGAACAATTTTTCCCACCCTTCTTCCTCATAGTTATCTTTGTCAATTATTTACATCTTTATAGCTAAGGAAGACTCCAAAGGAACTGGAAAGAAACCAGAAAGGGAACAAAAGGGCAAAGATGCATTAACCTGAAGCCCATGACACTGCAATTCTCTAAAACAAGGCTAACATGGGGTTTCCCCTAGTACATGCACACAAAGTCCAAAGGACCTACAGGACTTTGTTGGCAACCCCATAGCAAAAGCTCTTATACCACTTGAGGGAAGTCAGTTTGGGCAGCTCCTCTCTGAAGGGCTTGCACACTAACCCACGTGGGAGCAGGGGCAATCACACATCTGTATGCAGCTGCACAGCTGTGATCTCATGGCAGGACAGCATACACTGAAATGCTGCAAGTGATCAACAGGGGCTTTTGGGAAGCACAAGATGGCACCAAGGGCAAGACCAGTGGGAACAGACAGAGCTCTGCCTTGGGATGGATGATCAGCCAATGAATGCCTGAATGCTTCCAGGTTGGGAGTAGAGGACAGAACAACATGGATGATGATGTGGATTTCTGCTACAGAAATCTGATTGGGAAGATGATCAGGCCCTTTTTCTCATCAMACTCTTTGTATTGTATCCTGTCTCTTCTAAATTTTTTAGATTTCTACTAGAAATTATTTATGAGAAATGTTTTATTTGTAAGAAACACTTCTTTGGAAATTGCTAACTTTTTTWAATAACTTTTCTTAACAAAGGGCTACACAACTGAACGTCTACACACTGAGATCCTTGCTCAGAAAAAGAAAATAAAAAGCAAAACACTGAATAGAAACAGACATAAAAAGAGACTTCTATCTCTGAAAAAAATCTAGCAGATTGATATGTGCAAATATCCAATTACTGATTCTCAATATGCAATACTGCGTTCCTCTGTCAACACAAAGTTCTCTTCATGTCAGAAATGTGTAAACACTGTTTTGTTGACCAAACAAAACAATGAAAAGCATTTGGCCTAAAACAGCTCATTGAAAGAAATTAAATTGGTTCCCAGGCTTTTGCTTTTGTTGTTTGTTTTTGCATACAGAAGGAAGTAAAAAGGTGTGCATTTCAAATGGTTTGAACACCATTATCCAAGCTGTAAAAATGCACACACAATTTTTTAGCATTCAAGCAAGACAGTCACAGGTAATTCATATAATGCTCACTTTCCTACCTGCTTTGTGAAATGGRTAATAGTCCACTGTTAAATAGCTGAAGGAAAGCTGCATGGCCCCTCCTGTAACACGTCTGTTTGGGTCTGTAAAACAAAACAATACTTGGCTCTGCAGACATTGCATTTAGCATRTTAGTTCTCACGTTGCTGTAATCCTTTAAACACCGAACAGCTCTTACTTTCTTCCCTTTACTACCTCTCCTTACAACCTCATCATCTTCCCTCAAAATTTTCATTCAGATAGTCTTCACTGGTTTCTAAAGAGCAGCTTGTAGAATTCTGTACTCAGTCACTACTTAAAAATTATGTATTGTKTTCAATGCTACTAAAAAGACAACACTTTGAAAACAGATTACTGCAGTTTTTMTGAAACAAAGCTTTTTTGTATGATTATGATCTGTCTTTGAAGTCAACATTAATTTTCAAGAATACAACATATATGACAAATATAATTTTATTTGACAAATATTGCAGTGAAGGGGTCTTCTGAGAATCTTCTGATTTTTCCACTGTTGAATTGAAACTTCATGGCCAAAAATAAAGGCCCAATAAAGAGATCTCACTAGAAGTGATAAATTCCAACTTCAGTGGATACACTACATGTAAGTCTTTAGACAGTGAACATTATGCTCTGCTGCTCTGAAAGTGTCTTCCCTAATCAAGGAAATGCATTTGTTAAACCCTAAGTTTTCATACTTTTCTTCAACAGACCTTGTATGTTTCCATAAATTTTTCAGTGTCTAGCCAGCTTCTTGGAAATAAACCAACATGCCRCTCTCCTATGATCACTTTTAAAAGGCATTAAAAAAGTGCCTTCATTTGTCTTCTTTTTTTTTTTCTGATTCTAAATGTGACTACATGCAATMGGCTTTTGTTAACAAGAAACAGTACAAGATTTACACACAAAATTTTAAGGTCACAGGACACTTGTTCCATTCTTTCCATGTGCTGCAGACCATACCAAATTGTCTAAATTAGTAACACAAAGAGGACTGCTCTTTTATCAGTCTGTATTTATAAGAGTAATACAGAAGCAGACTGTATAGTCACCCCTTCAAGCCACAAAAATGTTGCAACTGCATTCTTCATAACCCAGTTAACTCACAAAAGGAAAAAAACCCAGCAGTAACAATCAGACTGATAGAATCGGTTCCTAGGAGACAGGAAAAAACACAAAAGCTACTAGCAGTCTTAGTTTTTGCACTTATTCTAAAATAATTAATTTAATAATGAAATGTTGTCCTGACAGAGCCATCTAAATAATTTTACATGTGTCCACAGACACTGGAGACAATTCTGACTGTTCCTCTAAACTGAAGCCTYTTGACTTTACTGTATTATTACTATTGCCTCATTATTGTATTAGTCAAATGTCTCCTAAAGATGGTTATGATTCACAGACATATAACTTACAAAGAAATTACCTTTTTCTTTAGAATGGATATCATCACATATATGTAGRTCCAAATGGGAAATTACTAAGTGATAAGAAGTTTCCTTGACATCAAAATCATTGAACAATTTTACTATTGCATCATTTTGATCAGGTGCTGCTGTTGTCTGGTGCGCTTTCACCTGCTGGGAGCTGGGCACAGGGGCAGAGCTCTGAAAAAATATTTAGTCACATACACTTACAATGTTTATTGTTTGTTTCAAGCATAAGTATCTGTTTACTTACAAAAAAAACAGCCTTTGAAACGTGGAAAAATCTGCACAACATGCATTCTGCCTTGGATCATTACTGAGATTTAAGCGTACTGTTTCAGAATAAGCTAAGTTGAGCTAATGGATGTGTGTAGCTGCACTGCAGTGCCAATTCATCCCATGTTCTCCCCATTCCCCACACTTCCTTATACCCCTGTCACTTGCAGCACTGGCCTTTTTCTAACTTTTGTTGCAAGTCGTTCAGGGAACTAACCCAACAAAGGTCTCCTTTCTTGCTAATTCAGTCCCTCAAGCTACATCACAATAAGGTCAAACCTGAGTCAGTATCACAGAATAGGYGAGATGCAAATACAGGGAGGGCACTGAAGAATCAGAATCTCCCTCCTCAAGGACAGGTAACCATTAGATTGTTGATGCTGAACCATGAAACCACATTGTAAGGCATCAGGAACAGCACAAGAAGTGAACTCTCCATTACACTACACTAGTTTCACTCTAAGAGATTCCCTMCAACTGACTGTATTCAGTAATAAACTATGTTTTATTTTATAGCACTTCTCTTTTATCATTGTACTTGTCATGCTTCTACACAGACAAGAAGAGGTGCCAGTCACAAAGCCCAGCTGGTCTAGCCTGCTCTGCGTGCTGAAGACCACCAAAATTTACATGCAACATCAACAGCACAGATATGCCAGCAGAAATATGTTGGAAGTACCATTTTTTTTACTATATATTCTGATGAGCTGCATGAACGTAAGCTCTTCAAAAAACCTAATTTTTCAGTAACATGAGAACAAACTGGACAAGCACCTTAAATCATTATAGTAAGCGTATCTACCTACGCATTAAGGTTACCTTAGCTTGTCTTAATTATTTAAATTCATAACCAGAAAATATTTGGAGAACAAATGTACCTTAAAGTTAATAAAGAATTAAGTAATACAGACACCTAAACACAGTGTACATCAAGAAACAATACTTTTTTATTTTCTGCAATTAACATCAATACACARAATCTTGGAAAATAAAGACTTTTATATTACGATTCATTCCCAGTGTAATTTATGCTATACAGCTGAATGAAAATGAGTAACTGAACATTCTCTAAAATAATGAAACTAACCACACTGCGTTATATTGTAGAACACCTGCCAATGATACAGTGAGACAATCAATTCTCATACCTGGGCTGTTTCAGAAGCCAAGCTTTTCCTCTGTTCTGCTGATTTTTCTATAGCTTCACTAAGAGATTTGGCATACTGCACCATGGCTTTCAATTGGGAATCAGTCAAAACCCACAGCAAATCATCCAGAATCAGAACCAGTTTGGATGCCACTACATTACAATCTTTTAACTGTAAAACAAAAATTTAAAGAAGTTGAACAAAGTACTTATATTAAACACGTGGGTTTAAAAAAGGCTGCACACAAAAAGCAATAACATTTTTTATTTTAAATTTTATTCCTCTCATTAACTAAGAAGTGCCTAAGACACAGTATATTTATACCTCACTCTTKTGTTTGGCATGCATGAGATATTAAACTGATCCATTTGTCTAAATATAAGCAATGCAAATATCATCACCTGAATCTAGAAAGATAAAAAAACCAGGCACCATGATAAACAAAGCTCTACAGATCAAACCATTTTATTAATGAGACCTGTATAAGGTCTTCCTTTTCAAAATCTGCCTGCAGTATATCTGGTAAACTCTACAGTCTTAACTTAAATTTATACTTTAGATATAAAATTTTAAATTCATAATACATGGTATTATAAATTTAGTTCAGGGAATTCTACATTCAATATGGCCTTAATTTAAAATCTTTACTATGTGCATGCATGCATTAAGAGCATGAGTTAAAAATTAAAAAATAAAATAGGATTTTAAACTTTTCAAATTTACCCTTCTTTTAAGCGTGACCCTAATTTTTGATTGGTTAGTAATCAGTCGAACTGGAGCACTCATGATTTCATGCTTAGAACTCTGGATTGCATCTGCTTCTATTCTGATCATCTGCCAGTTGATTTCTTTAAAGGTCAAAACCTTTGAAGACAAAAAAAAAGAGAAGAACACCTTGAGGCAATATGACAGTTTACTTGCACCTAACCCTGTGCATGTGTATGTACACATCTGCACATATGCACAAGCAAACTCATGTAAGCCACAGGAACAGGACAAATACAAATCATTTGTTACTCCACTCATTCGTAAAGCCCTCATCCTTTTTTCTACCTCCAAAATGTCACGGAAACATTAAGCTACTTCCAAGCAGGCCAAGGTGACAAGCAGCATTTAAAATATTCAGAAGCATACTAGGTTGCTTTTGGGAGAGGAAAACAATGATTGTGTAGTTTAGTCTAAGAAAAGAGCAGGGAGGGAAGCAGAGCTATAGGATAGGAGAGGTATTTTTTGAATGTTTTATTTCAATGAAAAGAAAGCTAAACATTGAGCACACTGCATGCTCGCAAGCTTTGAATCTACTACATGGATTTCTACAAGACACAGCAAGCAAATGTTAGAATAATGATACAAGAGCATCTAGTACAGCTGGACGCTGAAAATCAAACATGGAAAAATGAGTGAGTGTCCAGGAACAACATCAAATGAGCATGACATCAACAGGAAAAAACAGCAATTCTGGTTTAACTTAAACTCCTTCCTATATGATTTAGATGATGGGATGAAGTTCCCTTCGTAAGTTCACASACAACACTAAGCTGGGAGAGCATTGATTTGCTGRAGGGTAGGAAGGCACTGAAGAGGGATCCAGGCAGTTTGGATTGATGGACCAAGGGCAATTYTATGATTTTCAACAAGGCCAAGTGCCACGTCTTGCACTTGGGTCACAACAACCCCAGGCAGCACCACAGGCTGGGGGCAGAGTGACTGTACAGTTCTGGGCTCCCCCACTTCAAGGCAGACATGGAGGTGGCTGGAGAATGCCCAGAGAAGAAGGKTCTGAAGCACAAGTCTTATGAGAAGCGTCTGAGGGAGATGGGTGTGTTTAGCCTGAAGAAAAGGAGGCTCAGAAGTGACCTTATTGCTCTCCATAATCACCTGAAAAGAGATTGCAGCAAGATGGTGTCTTCTSCCAGGCAAGAGACAAGAGTAGCAACAGGACAAGAGTAAATGSCTCAAGCTGCACCCRRGACATCRGGRAGAATTTTTTCACTAAAAACTTGGCTTAGCATTGGAATGGGCTATCTAGGGAAGTGGTGGAGTCACTGTCCCTGGAGATGGTTAAGAAATGACTGGACACAGCACTTAGTGCTATGGTTTAGTRGGCATGATAGCATTTAGCCAAAAGTCRGACTCAATGATCTTGGAGGTCTTTTCCAACTTTAATGATTCCATGATTCTAAGACTACTCCCTGAAGAAACAAAGCTTAGCCATGAGTAAAGAGTAAGAAGGAAGAATTTGTTTGGTATTTGTCTTATTCTTTATCTGTCATTCTCCTCTTGTCCATTTGAAAACCTTACAGCAATATGTCCTGAGAACCTACACAGAGACTTAAGTTAAACATACCCAGTGTGTCYGGAAGTGAGACACACACAATCAAGTGAGCAAGATGGAAAGGTGCAGTGCAAAATATCCTAAAACAGTATCTACAGAAAAGCAGAMTATCTATCCTCCTCATACAGAAGAGATGTGATCAAAAGCCTCTAGAAGAATTCTAAGGAGATTCCTTATTACATTAAGAATGTAGCTACAGCACAAAGCTAAGTGATTACACCCCAAAAGTATCATTCAAAATGTTACCTTTAAAGTACAGCACCAGTTTTGGTTTTTCACCTTTTCATGCAATTTATTGCTAACAAATCATTCACTTTAATTTCTAGAAATTTSTTTCTGATATTCATTCCACTAAAAGAAATACTCCACCAATGAAAGCTGTTGTGCACAGRTCAACTGTTCAGAATAAAATTCTTCCTTAAAAAAACACAAAATCAAAAAATCTGCCATTCCATCTAGTCAAACTTTAATTTTTCCCATTTAGACTTCATTAACATGGGAGCATTAGCATACAGATAAGCTGCAGAAAAGGTTAACTGACAGAAAAATAGTTTTCAACTTCTTACTTTTGTGGTATTTTTAAYTGATATTCTCTTGGGTTTCTTTCCATACATAAAAATCAACTACCAGACTCCTTAACTCTGAGTAAGTTCTATTTATTTCAGAATGATCCTCTCTAAATAGGCATTTATGGGCAAAACTTAAACACCGATTTATCCAAGGCCAGATGTATGGCTAAAATTAGTCYCCTTGAATACAATATTTAGAATCCATCTTGCACTCAGTATACATCTTGCTTTGGTTACCTGGGAGAAAGTATGGTGGACATCAAACTAGCACTTCCATGTGAACTTCTCCCAGACAGTAGAAACACATACACTTTACTGTTACTTTTTTATATATACATATGATTTAGACATTCCAAGGAAAGTATTTAGTTTTTGTACAAGAACTTATATTCATTTAAAATTGCTTTAGAAAACAAAATCCTTATCAGGCAAGCCCTCACAAGCAAATAAATAACCATTTAAAACTTTGAAAATATTATTCTTGTTGTTATTATTATTACTAATAATAACAACAACAATAACAAAAACAGCACAACCTCTTATCCCTCCACATTTARTATACCATTCTTTGTTCTTTCAGTACTCTTCAAGTCATGCTCAGTTTGCATTTTAAAATAGTCACACTCTTGGAGAACATAAGAGGGAAATAATACACCYGCTTGCTCTGGTCTTTGTTCTTGCCTGAGTCTACTTTGGCCATTTGATCTGACTCACATTCACCGTTTTTACAAATTTGTGTTCCTAGAGGACAACTGAAATTACAGAGCACAGTGTCTCCACTCCCAGTAACAGCATGTTGTCTATTCTGTAAAAGGTTGCAATTCAACTTCCTCCTTTACCAYAAAAACAAGGGAAAAAAGTTAGCAAAAGGTATTATTTACCTCTCCACGTTGAGCTTCTTGTATTCTGGTAAATCTAAGGTCAGCATGTTCCCAGTTTGCATTTACACTATATATTCTCAGCTGGGAAAGTTCAAACGAAGCATTAAAGGCTTTTGCACCAATCCTTATTATAATGGAGTTCACRGAAACTGAAATGCCTTCTACTACTTTTTCAGCAAAGCCATATTCACTAAAAAGTGAAATGCCAACATATTAAATATAAASAGAGTGAAAGGGCATAAAATTAAACAGATTAAATAAATCATGAAATAGATGTTAAAATAAATGAATTTACTAATATATTCTACATTTAGCAACTTTTGCTCAGTATACTTGATGTAGTTTACAGCAATTTCCACTCTGTGATCCTAATCTCTCTACATTAGTTAAAGAACATATATTTGACCAAGGTCAATCTATACAAAGTACAACATTTAATACAATCATTCCATGTTAAATTATGTGGATGGATGTATTATATGTTAYGATACATACATAAAAATAGCAGTCTACATCATTATGCAGAAATCTACTTTTCTTCATGCATACATAGGGAGTAATTAATGTCAAATTAAGTCTTTGACAATTCCAGTCTGGTCAGTATTTCTCTCTATACACCAAATTATTTTGTCCATTAAAAACAGCATGAAGTATTTGCTTTATTTCATTCTATAAASAAAGGCTTCCTAAATGGTAGTTACACTTCTACAACGAACCAACATGCATTCCAGTATTAAAAAAGATAAAGCAGTTGCAAAWAACTTTTTAATAAAAATCTTATACGTTCTGAGTATTTCAGATTAGTGAATGGAAAATTGAATACTAAATACTATTATAACATCTAAAATTTTTTGCCCTTTTATTTTCTTGGGTTTTCTTCTGCTTGTTTAAAGAAAAAACAGTTTGTGTTGTTTGTTATTCCTTTTCCTCTTCACAAATTTCATTCTACATGAAATCTCTACAGCAATCGTTTTCAAGCTGTACCTTARGAGATACAGAGGCCCATGGACTACTTCTACACATCACACAGATGTTAAAACAAGAAAAGCAATTGTATCATCGAATTTATTTCTCTGTATAYAGATCCCTGTGACCACTGAAAAATGTTTTGGGTCCATGTAAAGGAAATGACTGAAGGTGTGGAAAGATGAAAATCACTGACATAATGCTGTATTGTCCCACCAAATTGCTTAAATCTCTCTTAAAGTGTGCATCTCTCGGTAAGAATTGGCTGATACAATCAAGGAAATAAAACCTTAAAACACTGCACTAACACTTAAAATTCTTTAGACAAAACGAATATTAAAAAATTTTAAACCCATAGGAACATTATATATATTTTTGAAAAAGAATGAAGGCAAGATATCATTAATTTTTAAAAAAATTAATGTCAATAAAACTCAGTAAATATTTGACATAGTAGCTGCACCTACACGAAACATACCTTGCAAGCTCCATACTTAGGTCACATGTTCTCTCCAGGCCTGGGTCTGAATAGTTCAATTATCACTAGACTACTTCATGCACAAGCAATAAAAAAAAAATTGGAGATATTGGAATGGCAAGCTGCAATCCTATGAACTTCTGGAAATCTACAGTTGATCCGTTCTATAGCAATTCAAAACCTTGTTTGATTGATTACATATAAGTACCATCACTGACCTCTGTCCAGATGCAGTTGCTATAGGAGAGGGTCCATTAGGGGCACGGGGCTCTTCACATGTGCTCATTTCCATTACAACTTTATCCAAGGACTTGAAAAACAAAACAAAACAAAAAAGTTGGAGACCTAAGAGGTAACTGAGTAAATACACAACATATGAAGAACAAGAATCCAAACAAAAAAGGTCACTTGAGAACTTTTTCTGAAATATACATAAAACATTTTTTGCCACGTCAATTTTTCCAATTTTTAAAACTTTTTTTCACATTTTTTTTTAAATTTTGGGAGTTCTAAGAGACATCCCCAGTCAAATATTGYGTTACAGAATTCTTAATCCTTGAATTTTATTTATCCAACAAATGCATTTTCARRAATTGCATYTCMAAATGGGCATGCTTTAAGGTGCAGTTATCTGAGCTTTCTTTCGATATGGCTGTTCTTTCAATAAAATACTTAATATTTAATGCAAGCTGATTCAAAGCACGGCAGTTAAGATTATGTCCCTGTCTAATTCTAACTTTCTACCCCTTTCTGAATTCTTACATTTATACTCTTAGGTCAGAAAACCACCAAAAAAACCCTTGTAGAATTTAGATTTTTCACAATTCAACCTGCTCTAGCTACTRGACTATTATCATACTGTGTTAATCATGCCTATCGTCATAATTCCACTTGCTCTACATTTATTTGTGCTACTCTTATCCATGAAAACCTGATCATAATGAAAAAATTCTAGTCTAGTCTGGATTTAGTAGTACTTCGCTGTATTTTGATGCTTAAAGGGAGGCAACAGCTGTTAACAGTAAATTTGGATATTTTTAAATTATTTTTTCATCTGCCTTAATGACTACCTTGCCTTGAAAAACRAAAACAATGGAGGAAAAAAACCAAGAAAAACCCAATCCCTTAGTTTGCGGATAGTGGGGGGAAGCCAAGATTTCTCCCAGTTATCCTAACATTTTTGGAAGTTTCACCACTCTTTTAAGAATTGCCTTTACTACATGACTAGTGCAAAGAACAGTAGGACAGTGATTCATGGAGTTTGCAAAATACAAATAAGAGATAGCRAAGAATGCCTGGATGCAGATCTGTGTCTTTTCTCACTGGTAACTACTCTATTCGGACAGAGTAAAAACTGCTGTACATCATCCTTGGGACCCAAATCACTTGTCAAAACTATCTTGTTTATCACATAAAACCAGAAATTGGTTATGAGCAGAGATAACAGTACATGCCACTATGCTAACAGACTGATTCTCACAAAGGGCAACTCAGGCCAGTGAAAGGCCCTTCGGCTGGACAGGTGGGTTCTAGTTACCAAGTGACTGTGCAAACAGAGGATGCTATTCCAACTTAATTAAACTCTCAGTAGCAAAAATATTGCTCCTTCCCTATCCCTGCCAAAATACTGGAACTTCAGTGATTTAATGAAGAGCGAAGGTTTGACATTTGGGCCACTGAGTTCACTACACTTTAGAAATAAAAAAGGCTGTTAGTACGATCTACCACTGAACAGTGAACTTTTGCAACCTATTTGAACCACTTGGTCAAGGAAACCTTTATGAAAAAAAGGTTACCTTGAAAGTTATTTTAGTCTCAAAGATTGCTACTGTAAGTCCAACAGGAGCAAAGCAAACAGCATCTTGCTACCATAGGTCAAAGTATGTCATGTTTAAGAATAGCACAGCTTAAACCGATTTCCTAACTTGGCAGTTGCATCTCACACCAAGAGGTTGAATCATCCCAGCTCAGCATTACCAGACTTTAAGTTCTGGGTGTCAGGAAGAAGCAGTACAGACATTGGTACATTATAACTGGGTCACTAGCAAATGCATCAATTATTTAAAACAACGTGTCTYTCCCAAGTCTGATTCAGAATAAAGGAATTACAAGCACATTCATGCAAGGCTACGAAACGTGGCAGCTAAAGGAATATTCACTCTTAAGCAAAAGCAATTAACAAAGTTTATTCATCATCAAATAAATTACTTCTGATGCTACCAGAAGTAGTCTACTTAAAAATAAAGAACAAAGGAAAACAAATGCAAGAATTAATATTACTTCTAATTMCTTCTATTACTTCTATTGAGTGTTATTTACACATTTTACCTCCTATTTATATCCAGGCTGAATCCTACACTGTTACAAAAACCCCGTAAATGCTATCTGTGCCAAACCTACTATAGCCAAGACGTAGAATTGAAAAGTTCCTAAAAAAGACAGCTCCAAAAGAGAGGCAGGAACTTGTTAAAAGGGTTGACAAAAGCTTGACAAATAACTACCCTTCAGGTAAATTCAAATTAACATGTAATGACTAAAAACTTGACAGAAATTAGCTAATAGTCAAACATTATGGTGATTACACTGAAACCACAGATTAAGAAAACACACCTGTCAAGGAAAACATTAAGGCATTTTGCCTTGATCTGCTGCTACACAGAGGATATGTAGTAAAGGCCTGTTAATGTTCCAGTTATCTCTACAATCACATCAAGAGAACTATATAAATATTTGATACAGATCCTGCTACACATAGTATATTTCAGAGTTTATTTCAGAACTCACCAAAGAGATGGGATGTGTTTTCAATTTTGTCCATGGTATCTGCAAGAGAACACAGTATYCTAAAGCAAGTTAARTATTAAAAATACTGTAAAATAAATYACATAKAATATGTTTTARGTATACAAATTRTAGTTCTAACTTCTGAATTCAGCATAATATTACTTTCAAAACTTTAAATTTATCTCCAAAKACCATACAGTACCTTTATGCACACACTAGGTGCTAAAATCTCTGGACTTCATAATCTACTTATCACTGAGCAGAAAAAGAAGAACAAAGCAGAAACTGTCTCTTTAATAGTGAGTTGTCAAGCATCAGAAAAAGCATCCCTGCCTTACATATCCTTTCCTTTAAAAGGAAAAAAAATATCTACATTTGCTTCGTTGCCCTACAACTGATTGGATGCCTGTAACAAAACACCAAGTTCACTGCAYTCAGAAAAAATCAGGACAATTGTGAGAAACAAGGGCAGCCAAAACAACACAGAAAACCCACAAACCCCACTAAAAGACTGCAGAGATGCCAATGTTTGGCCACATTGTAACTTAAATCAAAAGAGAGCCAGCCTTCATTTCCTAATCCCTTACTAGCATAATGTGGAACAGATGATATACATTGTTTCAATTATTAGCAACCACGCTGGACAAAAAAAGCAATATCTACTAGATTTACTATGTTTCCACATTTCCCACAGAGAACAGAAGCAGTCAAAGGTGTTTTTGGAAATAAGAATAGAACAAGAGAGAAAGTAATAAACGAACACGACTTAAGAGAGAACACACAGAAAAGAGAACAATAATTATGGTAGGCCAACCACCATGGACAAATACAAACCTTTACTTCTAGCTCATTTTCAAAACATGCAGGAATAAATTCTACTCAGAAAAAAAAATTTTAAAATCGCTCTTAGTTTTGTCGTTTCCAGATGTATGTTATCACATGAGAAACAAAAATTAGGAAGAAATTACTGCTGATAACATCTCTGTTGTMCTTTAAAATGTAATCAAGCACTTAYCACAATTTCCTATTAATACAAAGTTGCTTGGAAGTTTAGAGAAAGAAGGAAATGAAAAAAGATTTGGTTAATTACCATGCCAGCACAATAAAATACTCACCCTAATGGATGCTTTATTACAAAACACCTTGTTTATAGCCAGCCATGTTGGAAGATCCAGCATGTTCTGAAGCACCTCTTGATCCAGCTCCAAGTTGGTCAGCTGACCTTCCCCCTTCAACGTGCTCAGGTTGATCTTGTCAGGTGACAGATTTTTGGTGAATCTAAAGATAAACACATCTTAAGTAAATACATATAAAGCAATCAAAGCTATCATAGATGCCAGTGACAATTTAACTTAAAGCAATGGTCTGGAGGTGAAAAAATCATCGTAGGTTCTTAGATAAATTTCACCCTGGAAAGAAGGGGTACAATGGAATTGATTTGTCCCTTTAACTTTTTTCATCTCATTAACTCTATTTATAAATACACAAACAAAAATATGAGCTATCTTCTAATTTTTCCATCACCTGGAATAACAAATGCTCTTTGACTCTAACTATTRAAGTATTTATTTCAAACTATATAAAGTGGAATTGAACCTATTTCACTCTTCTTTAATTTTTCAAAAGGAGAACAAAAATCTCAAACCCCTCAACTTATTGTCATAAACAGTACCTTTCTACATATTTCTTTAGGATCTTGAAATGAAAAAGTTTTATTTACAAAATTAATTATATTTAGTCATAGAATTTAATGCCAAATTAGAAATAGACATACACACACAGCAGCATGAGGTATATAAAATACTGGATGAAAACTTGAAACCTCAGTATGATATCCACATGGTGAAAAATAGAACTATTTAAAAGAGTACATTTAAATTTCTTCTATTTCAAAGGCACTAGGATTTGCWGATACAATACAACAATCTGTGTGACTGTGTCAAATGGCTCACATCCTTGTGAGGCAACATGACAGAGCCCACGGGTTTTCTATTCTCAAACCAATAGCTGTGGCATTGTATCTACCACAAGCTAAGAATAGGCTATATAACCACACTTTCAATCTGCCATGAAAAATTGTTTCTGCTCATGGACTGAGTCTRATTTTATAAGATTAGGCAGCAGAAAATACTACTGTTGGCATTATGCTTAGTGCCTTTTCCCACCAAAATCTCCAGGTGCTGCTGTTCTGAAGGCAAAGGGCAAAGGGGTTTATCTGTCCTCAATGATGAAACATTGCCTGAAGCAATGCCCCAGGAGGTGCAATTCCAGCATTTCCTTTCCATTCAAGAGACCAACTTCTAACTGAACTACAGGATCCTCATGAAGTCTGATACTGGGGGAGATGGTGGAAGAAGATGAAGAAGGTCAGCAAGCTTTTCCTCTTAACAGCTTCCAATTACAGCTGGAAAMAAAGCAGGCATTTTCTGAGTTCAASTGCCTTACKCCATTCCTGGGATGGTTAGGAAATGCATTTACCTAGCCTGACAAAACACAAGTAATATTTGCAAATAATACTAGACATGTTTCTTATGACAGAAGTGCTGAATTGTATTGTTTATAAGGCATAAATTATCCACGAACAATGAGCTTTAATCTGTAAATAAAACAGCTTAATAATTTCAGTACTAAAAATATATTGAGATAAGACTATTAATAAATGTATTTTCCTTGGCAATTATTGTACTTCCAAATGCTCTGTTTAAAAACAATATGAGGGGAATAAAGGACTTGAATTACTTTATTTTCTGGTTACCCTTTTTTCTTCCTTCCAACAAGAATAATGAGAAGAGCTAAGTAACCTGCCTCATTAAAACAACCTATCTGTAACTGCAAACACAAAACTTCCTATCTCAGAAATCATTGCAAAGTCTCATCTGACTCAGGTCATACAAAATTCCTAGATGACAAAAAGCAGACATTGAGAGATTTCAGTCACATGGCAGTACCTCTCACTCTTKATTTTCTAGATAAGGGTCAACATTAGAATTAAAAATTGGTGTTATTTTAAAGTCACATTTACATAGCAAACGCAAAAACATATTCTGCCATTACACACATGCATGTACACACAAGTCTCCTGATACTCATGCTCTGTGAAAGAAGTACCCTTCAAAATTCCCTGTTAGTCAGCCACACTAGAAATGTCTCTCAGCTTGGAGACAGATCTAAGTATTATCCTGGTCACAACTGCAGACACATCACAGTGAAACACACAGGACCTACAGAAAGGTTTTCAAACTCCACAGCAAGAAAGACACTAAAATACCATTAAAGAGGAGAATGGCAACAACAAAACCAATTTTGAGTTACTTTCAATATCCTTCAAACAAATGAAACAGAAGCCAGTCTCTCTCAACAGGGAGCACAAGGAGAGGGAAACAATTCAAGGACCATCACTTTTATATATAGATKTTTTTTTTAAATTCTTCCAAGACTGTTGCTTTGTATTTGTTTCTTCTCCTCCAGACAGCAAATGAAAAAATGCTCTACGTGCTGCATCATTCGGAAGAGACAAACATAAGAGGATCACCACCTATTAAGACTGTACCCTTCATGTCAAAAGTCATGGAGGGAAACGCTCAACAGATGAGGCGTGAGAAGGTATTTTTGGCAGGTCCTGATATTTCTCATAGCAGGTTTCTTCATTCCACTTCCACAGCTGGATGCTGAGGAGACTGTGGTGTTTCCCCAAAACCRGTAGCAACTTCATAACACACAACAATCACATCTGCTTTAACYATCTGCTTCTTCCAGTGCCAGTTTTCCACTGAGGATGCCAACATTTTACTCACCTGTGCCAATTCTCTTCTCCTTCTAAATTCAGCTGTTCCATATAATATAATATAATTTTGTTTGTCTGCTGAACMATTTCAGCACTTCAGAACCATTCCATTGCACTTACTGTAATAGAAAAACCTTTTCGTGTTATACAGTGGCCCATAAGTTCAAACATAAAAAAAAAAGCGGGCCTATTTGGGCAGCTAGCCTTGCAATCACATACCTGTGAGTTAGAATTTATAAGAATTGTGATCTTTGTGCATAAAATTGAAAGAAGAGCCAAATTACAAGAASAACAACACTTTGAATTAAAAACTAAAGAAGTCCTTAGGACAACYGCAAGTCTCCAAATGGTATTGCTCTAGAATCCCACGGTACATCRGATCAGCACATGCCCCTCTGAGACTGAGGGCTTTGACTTTTCTTTCTGGTGGGCTCGCACTCAGCCAACAGAGACCTARAACATTTAATTGCTTACACTTTGAAAACTTCTTAGGCTATCATATGTATCACACATTTTTATGTAAAACAGAGAGGTAATTCCCATAAATTTAGGCCCACCTAATTCTGAATACAAAATAATTAGAAATCCTTGATTGGGTCATGATGTTTCATGATTAGAAATCCTGGATAGGGCAAAACCATTTAAAAATTTTCTATAAATTTTTCATGTAACTACTCAGAACCAAYGAAGTGCCTGAGTTCATGATACACACATATTCTTCTCTCTGACCAGGCATGTGCAAACAGTCCCCCTACCAGCTTGCCATTTGCTTTTTACCCTGGTTTTCTTTCCTTAGAATGAGTTAATTGCTCCTTTAAAAYTTGGTCAAACTGGGAGCAGAGATCTTAACAACAGGGCCATTTCTCTGCACAACATCCCATGAACTTCTGACTGCTTTTCTAGGCAACAGACCGATTGTAGACTACTCACTACATGAAATAAATAAAGCAGAACAGAGAAAAATAAAAGACAAGGGCAAGAGGAACGGAAATAAAGCTTTCTATTACCTTGTTTTGCTGTGTCAGTAAGACATTACTGTTACTGAGGCAATACAGACTTGGTTTACTAATACCTCAAGATATTCTCAGCAAAACTGTTTTCACARACTGAGTTTCAATTTCACAAACTACACGTTGTCTCTCTAAAGATATCTGAGGTATGAATTACTATGTGACAGTATGCATTTCAATACAGTTTTAATATTGAATTTTATAAGTAGAATAATGCCGTGAAGYATTTATGGTTTAAATGCAAGAGTCTAGAAATATGAAGTTATCAACAGCACAAGCACCTTAGCATAGCTTCTTTGGGTACACATACATACACATGCACTAAATATTACTATTCAGTTACAGATASAGGTTCAAGTTTAATCTAAAATGTACAGACTAAGAGTTCAGTGAAAAGTGTAAAAGATTACACAGTAATAGCACACTATTAAGAATCAGAGCAATAAGTTACAATCACTGTATTTTGTCAGTACCACAATAGTTCTTTCAGTTTTTTCCCTCTAAAGTAACTCAAAATCTACATAAAAGATGCATTTCTTTAACTGAAATACTTATTTTCTGAAGGTTTGTTTGCAACACCACAGGCATGGAGCTCTGAATGGAGCACTCCACCATGCTGGCAGAGATGGCCAAGAAGTTGAAAACAGAAACAAAAAAAAAAAACTCAACAACAGGTAGAGAAGATGGGAAAACACTTTTCTGAAGTCACAGGCTTATGGTTTGTATAATGAAGGCCAACACACGATATGATGCTTAGGGCTGCACTCCCCAAAGGCTTGGAGTAAATACCAGATGCCTTGTCAAGTTTGTCAACAGAAAAGCCAACCTCTGGATTTGGTAGAGAAATAACAGAAGTCTGGATCACATTTGGACACAGATTCTCAGCTGTTCTGCACATCTCCTTGAGTACACAATTGCTTACCCAAACTCTACCCTGTGCCTTCACTGCTTCTAAAATAAAATTTCCTCAGCGATATTATTCTAAATGTATGTTCTAATCATGACAGACTACTAAATCAGAGTATGTGTCACAAGTTTTGCTTATCTCCTTGTTACGAACTCAAACTGCTGAAACAACAGGTTCTGAAAAAGGGAAGCATGACCTATTAAGCACTGGCAAATAAATCAATAATAGAACAGCAGAAATGTAACACAAAGATAACTGATTTTTTTCTTTACAGTTTCACCTGTTTGAACCATGTTACTTGATCTCTAAGGAACATTACACAACATTTCTGAAGCAAGAAAAATGGTCTTTTTCAATCAAGTTYCTCAGGAAGACATTTGCTTCCCATGACTCTAAGTAACAGAATGAAGGGCTCATTCAGCTCACTGTACCACTTCAAATTTTAAGATTTCAAGTTTAAGTAAGAGACGAATAGAACTCTCTGTCAAGTCTGCCACAGAAAAAAAGTATTGGGATCAACAATATGTAATGTTATGAGTTCTCTCATCCAGCATAATATCACACACCACAGCTGATTTTCAATAACTGGCTTGAGCTGGAAAAAAAATACATTTAACTCCCCCCAGCTTTAAGTAAGAAAAAAATACAAATAGCATGCTGCAAGCAACATAATGATTTCCTCTCTCATATTTTCTTTGCTGTAGCCAAAAGAAATATCAGTGTCTCAGGGAAAAAAACACCACATGTAAATTCTGAGTTCAGGAGCATTGCTGTACCTTTTCCTGCAACAGCACTTCAGTATTTAAGTCCCAAGTACCAAGATGATTAGATCTATTTAGATGGTAGCAAGTTATATATGGGAAAAAGAAAAACTGCCTAGATTAAAATACAGCTCTACATACCAGTAACATTAAGCCCAGTGACATTCAGAAGATTTCTTTTTGATCCAAGTACGACAGAACAGAAACGGCCAGATCCACTGCAGACACACAGGATTAAAGATTAAGCTGCCACTAAGTGAAAGACTGACGAAAGACAGTCTTTACAGATGCAACAAGTGTTTGGCCTGCATCGATAAAGTAACGAACTAATGAAAATTTTGCAAGGATGTGATAGACTAGGGGAAAAACATAACYAAATTTTAAAAGAACTAACTTCTGTAAAAGAAGTCAATTTCAATCCTTCAAATTTAAGAAACAAGATTAGAATCAGGTAGCTGATATCTTCTCTGAGTACTTCAAAAAACTTCACTGAAAAAGCATCACAAAAAGTGCTATAAAATYAACAGTAAAGGCTTAGAGTTAGTATTGGTCAGGAGACTGCAAGAWCAACAATATCACATAACTCACTGTCCAAAGGATTTGCGGAAAGCCAAAAGCACTGAATATATTTAGCGACGTCCTAGAAAAAGCTGGTGAACTGGGAAGGACAAGAAACATTTGAGTGAGTCCTGGTTGTCCTAGGGATGCTTTAATTTTAATCAAGTGTATTAAASTAGTATTTCACCTAGCAAAAAAATGTTAGATGTGCTTTATGCAAGCTTAGGAGTAAAAACTTTTAGCTCTGCAGTCTGAGTTAAAATGTATAAAAGATGACGTAGCATACAAGTCACATTAATCAAGACCACAGAAAACGATCTTTCTGAGGAACCCAAAACAGCAGCAAATGGCTTTGCAGCAATAGCCAACTCATTGCTGATGCAAGATACACAACATTTGAAAATACATGTCATGGAAACTACTGAGTTCTAAGTGAAAGACAGATTTTTTTGGAAATAAAGCAGGAAGATAAGAAATGATTGATGAAAAATTGCCTGAGATATATAAAGGTTAAAGTACTTCTGCGTATAAAAAATGAATGGCAAGTAGTACTAAATATCACCACAAAATATGGAATGTCTTCATCTTGGACACTTTTCCCACTTATTAAAATATTAATTTTATTAATTTTTACTATAAAAATAATAATTAGTGTTATTTTTTTAGCACAAAAAGTTAATCAGCTGCTCATTTACCTTAATATAGAAACAAAACCATACATGAAACTAAACAGAATACTTTGAAAGTAAGTACAAGGAAACACTAATTGCAAAGTATTTTAATATCCATTAAAACATCAGGATAGAATACAGTATAAAAATCAGAAGCTCTAAAAAAGTGAAAAATTAAGGCACCTGTGGTAGGGKTTTTGGGGAGAGGTAACACCTTTTATATTTACAACATGGTAGGATCAACTATACACACTCTGACACATAAAACACTTAAGTTCTTTRTTTATGAATATTAACAGCACATTGAGTTGAAAATAAACACTAGTAAGGACAAATTTTAAAATTTCTGGAAAAAAATTCCTCCTACAAACAACGGCACTCTCACATTCTGCACCAGGAAGAGCATTGCCAAACAGCACTATAAAATCTCACCAGCACTGTGAACCAATGGATGACCAATACACAAGCCTAGAATGGACACACGTTTGGTGGTGTGAGAGGCTATTCCTCCAGTTATCCTCCTGCTTGCATCCAGAATCCACCTGGATGTCAGCAATGAATGCTGTGTCCTGCATAAATACCATGCAGTTTTCTCCCAAGAAGTTCCTATCAGCAGGTGAACTGCAAGGGTTAGCTAACACTCATCAGGCTTTTTGACCTATCATAGTCTAAAGCCAGATCTTCCTCTCCATGGAAATCACTAATTAGGACCTTGGCCCAGTATTTGTGCAACGCATCTGGCTCAGTGTTACACCATCCCCTTATCCATCCCATCCTAGGAGCCCTGCATAGTACATCGGCTTTGCTGACACTTTTCAAATAATTGCTTCCATTTCATCAAAACACAGAAGGCCTTCAGCAGGGACTCCTACTCCAGGTAACTTCCTAAAGACACTTCAGTATGCTCCTATCCACTTCAAGACCCATTCCATACCTTCTCAAATACTGACATCCCCACCAAGTCTCTTGATAGTACATAATGCTTCTCCTATTTAATTCTATAATAACATATATACGAAATAATTTTCTTTCTATTTAGAAAAACTCTATTGCTTGCTTTTTGGGTACAGGCAGAACTGAGACAGCTGCTGTCATCAATGGTTATTATCTAATTATGTGTCATGAAGCAGATATGCGCATCTCAGACACAGACAAGCACTGTGCATAAATGAGRAGCTTGCACTGCATGAGTGATAATCATCTTGCTAGTGAAATGTTGCTCAAGCAATTTATCTTTCATTTACAATAAACCCTTACATAGACCAATATTAGCTTTTCAATTCCATGAGTCTTTTCACATCAAGCAGAGAAATGGCCAGTATGATCAAACCCAGAGTATTTTATTCAAACATGACAATCCTACATATACATGTGAGGCCTTAATGTTGAATACAAGATAACACAAATCCCGAATCCATCAAAACATATGTGGCAATGCAAATGCAACTTCCCCACCACAGGCAGAAAAAAAACCACTTCAATTTGCTTACACCTGATAACTATTAAATTCCACTTAAAATACAACATTTTGTATCTAATACAAAGAAAAGCCATTTAATGAAAAACAATTTTAGAAATTTAAAATCAAGAAACAATTATACAATGTAAAAGCATAACAACCTCTGCCTTTTGGAAACAGCATCATTTACTTATATGACATTAGCAGATATCTTTTTTAATGCTAACGGATCACATCACACTACACAGTATCTTTTGATAAGGTATAAAATATAAGAACTCCTTTAAAAAAAGAAAATCAGTCAATTWCTTCTGTAAACTAGGTAAAAAGCTGACTGACCCTTCAAATATATCAATACAGAGGTAACACACAGTAAGTTATGAAAAGGAATTAAGCAGATGCAAATGATAAACAGTAAATGTCACATAGCCTAAAGATATCAGGAAACACCYAGATTGCACTTAGAAAACACAAAAAGGTATGTTTAAAATGGGATCGCTGATTTAGTTCACAAAACAGTTTTGTAAATTTTAGTTGTAACAACTTAGTTTAGTTTAGGATTTATAAAAACCCCCAAAAATCAAAACATGCAGCTGCATAGCAAACAATAACCATTTACAGAATTCTAAGTTAAAAAAAGAAACAGGAGTGAAAACCCAAGTAATTTTATAGAGCTCACTTCACTCCTAAATCTATATAAATACATACCACCTTGTACATTTACTCTACAAAGGTGGGAGACAGGAAGTTACCTGAGGGCAAGGTATTCAGACATAAGGCCCCTACTCCTGGTGAAAGCAAGTGGTCAGTTGCCACAGGTTCTGAGAAGCTTCTGGTACTCATTTTGGTAGTAAGGATATTCACAGCAAACCAATCTCCACCAGAGCCAGCTGGAATCGCTGCAGGGAACGGGACACAGGGGACACACAAGGGATCAAGTTCAAAGGGAAAAAGGAGTGATACAATAATGTAAGAGAATTTTAGCTGAAGATAACTGCAATTACAACAGTTTGTTACACTTCATGACACTACAGAACTCAAAAGGAAACAGACCTGTGTAAAACTCTAGATTCCCATGAGAATATCCCTTGCTGTGTAATACTACAACACTGCAGCCCTGTTTACATGAACAGCTTATAAAGAAAATCATGCAGAAAAGATCTGTGTAATATAGCCAAGTGGTTTCAGAAATACTCARTAAGTACATTTGGAAGATGAGACAGAAGAGAGCCCAAAGATGCAGCATAAGAGGATTTTATTTTATTTTTAAATGGGAGACAACTTTTCAGTTTTGTTTTGCCTAGCCTGAGATTTCTCAACCCACATTGTCTGTTCCTATTCACAGTGTCTCAACATCAGCTATTCAAAATTCACACTAAAGAAACCTGACCCTAGAGATGTAGGAGAATGGGACCTCTGRATTTGTTTTTGTGTTTGGGGTGGCGCTACAAAGACCTTTACATGTCTGACAGTCTGATTTTGCAGACTATGAAATTGTAGTACAATAAAGAAAAAAGAAAAAGTTTTCTGCAAAYTGTCTTCACCTCAAAGAGATGCTTCAGCTTAAACAGAATTAATTCCTACACTTTTACGTTTTGGGTACAATAAAACCCAAACATCTGGACAGTGACCTTGGCAAGTAGCTTGTTGGGATATCTGAACAGCATTTAAGAGATTTATCACTTAAGTGAATTACAGACAMCTAGTTACAAATTATGATTTTTCTCCGGTCTCCCAACTGCCAACAATGAAACAACATGAAAACTGTTCCAGAAGTAGGCAAAACTTTCAGCTTCCTGGGTAGCTGAATCCAAGTGTTGCTTCCTTGGGAGACAGAAGCAGCAAGGGTCTCTGAGGAAAAAAAAACCCTCTGGTGTTCTCAAGCTACTTGGTGAAGATACACAGTAGAGCTGCCATAAAATCTGTGCTAGGGACGTTCATACAGCAAGGCTTGTACATCCATCCTGGGGAGGCTGGAAGAACAAAAAGGCAYGGCCTAGCTGAAGCTCTTTCCTCTCATGTTTTTTCTCATCAAAAAAGGAGACAATGAAGAGACCTGAACCATGATTAGGACTAGCTGCAAGGAAGTGTACTCCTACAGGAGTTACTGGATGAAGAAATATGGGTTATTGTGCAAGCGGCCAAACCCAAGATRCACTGTCTAATTACTTCATAGCAATCATTCTCATGATTTGCAAAAAAAACTGTGAAATAAATCTCTTCATGTAAGCCTTTWTAATTCCATTAATGTTTCATCAGAAATTATCTGATCTCCTTTGTCCAATCTGCTTGTAGGAAAAAGAAAAAAAATAAAACAAGACACTTTAAAAAGCACCTCTCATTCTTAGAATTATTTAGCACATACTTTTATACTGCTTTGACATTAAAAAAAAAAAACCAAACAAAAACCAAAGGATTTAGCAGGAGAAATAATAAATTTTAAAATACATAACCGTGAGCTAGTTTTGATTCTTACATACTCCATAATCACTTGATCTTAAGAGACAATTTTGTTCCTCATAGGCTTTATTTAAATGTCCTTTTTTTTCCAGGGCATCTTTCATACTGGCATGTCAGGTAATTGCAACAGCGACCAAGACCCATTTTAATTGTGCAACTTATTAGCAAACTATTCTGAGAATTCTTTAAGAAAATGATTGCATATAAGTAAAATGCTACTGATTAATTTGAGCTGATTGTGGAAATGTATTCATTTTTGTTATTATTATGCATGCACAATGTCTGTAAAATCAGGTTGATAATACAGTTGCAAACATAATGTTAAACTGAAACACAGAAGTCAAGTTCTGTGAGTTTATTTTATTAACTCAAATGCTACTGAAAGATTAGAGATCTTTCTGAGATGTAATACAAGATTTAATATCAACTTTTAAATAAATGCAATGATTAGGAATTCTACCAGAAAATACATTATTGCTCACTTATCTCCGAAATACCTGTGTAATTTCATAAAGCACYGTAGCAATTTCAGTTTGGATTTTAGAAGATGTTCTGTTACAGAACCTTAAAATGCAATATGATGCATGAAGCTACTAACAAAACCAGAAGAAAGTGAAAGTTTTTTATTTCTGTTGAAAAACACATTTATTGATTCCTTTATACTCATTAGTACATTATCAACACATTCACAGAGAAAAAAACTGTTGGCATTAAATTTCCACTTAAACACTAAAAGTACTGATTTTCAAACATATGAGAATTTAAGAAATACAGGATTATAGTGAAACTTTAAATTGCTCTTTCTCCTCCTCCTTTTCTGCTGTCTCAAGCAGTTCTGCTTTACTACCTGATGTTTTTCAGGCTTATTCTTTCACTTGGTGCAACATTTAAGACAGACATAATGCTGACACTTCCTGWAAGCATTCAGATTCAGTACAGATTCATTCAGAACAACAGAAATTGTTATGTCTACATTGTGTTTTGCAATTTTCTCACATACTGCACAAGCCAATAAAGTCAGTCACGTAGAATACACTGCAAAATTACTACAAAGAGAGAAGCAGAAAAGTACACACTTTGTGTTCTTTGGCTGGCTAAAGGAATTGGCTAACTTCCACAAAACGAAAGTGACACAGAAGTGGAATACACAGAACTGAAAATAAGCAAAAACCTACTTATTTTGCTACAAGCAGAATTTTCAAAGTTCATCCAAACAATTTTGTTCATTTACTTACAGGAAGAAAACAGCCCATTCTAGTCAAATAAAGGCATTACAACTGCTTTAAAGGAGTCCCCTCAGATGTCTTGAGGGGGCAACACTCCTCACCAACCAGGCATGTTTGACTGGCATAAAAGCAAGGCAATATGCAGGGCAAATATTTTGGTTATCAGTGTATCATATCATTATATCAGTGTAACATATCATTATATGTTATCAGTGAAGATGTACCAGATGAGGTACATCGTTGTTTGTATCAGGACCAGCTGATTCCTGATATCCATACAGTTGGTATGCTATTCTTTGTACAACCATTCTTCATATGAGCTTTAGAATGACTTCCCAATTATGASACGAAAATAATTGTCACAAAACTCACTGCAATTTTCTTCTGTTGAAATCTTAGTATGTTCATATCTATTGATTCAGATGAGCAAAAGCAAAGGTCTAAGTTCATGCAGAACATTAACTAATGACACAACTGAAAATAATTTCWGCCATACCAAGCACTTTAAAACCTCTCACTGTTTTCTCTGTGAAAATAGCAAGTAAGATGATAACTGTAACTTTTTAAGTTGTACTATGTGTTATCATTGATAAGAGTTAATATCAATTGAAGTGGAGACTGTCATATTCAGTTGTGGCTGCTTAACAGAGAGGCAAAGTTTATAAGCTTTCCTTCATGCTTCTCAYACATGACTTGATAAACRAAACTTTTTCACAGAAAGGCTGGATAATGCAGATATAMRGAGGACTGAARTTGCTCATTAACTAGGAAGGGAATTTCAATGATACTAAAAGCCAAAACTATGAAACACCTGAAAACACCCTTACACAAGTCTGTGTTAGTAATACCTGATCTCTGTTCGATGTATCTCCCATCTGAACAATGCAAGACTGAAACTGCCATGAAGATGATCCCTTACAACCACAGCAACACCAGAGTGAACTTGCATGGCAATCTAGATTCCCATTGGAAATCTTTAACACCATTGTTTCATACACTTGTCCACAAAGTCTGAGAACAAAGAAGAAATACTGAAGGATATCTGCTACCATCATAGCAGAGCACTGAACACAAAATCTTGCAATAAAAAGGTGYTCTTCAACAACAAATCTCTTATGCACTGAAAATACCTAACATCACAAATGAAGATTCAACACAAGTTTCAGTTCACTGCGAAAGACCTTYACAGTAGGTAATCCCAACACTAGAGAGACTTCTAGGAATGGTATGTCTTTCCTACTTGTGTAAAGGATGATGCCATTATCCAGACACTCGTTTCATTTTATGGCACATAAGAAATAAACAATCCATCATCTGCAATCAGCAAAACCACACCCAGCACAATATGGAGCYGACAAAAATTCAAGCCTCCAAATGACAAACTCACCTCTTCAGTTTAGTTGATACATTTAGTTTCAAATCATATACCAAGCATTACAAAATGTGAAGTACAACAAAACCACTTATTTTGTTCCTGCCCCTTCCCTCCTTCTCATTTTCTACCACAGCCTTAGGAAAGAAAAATGCATGTTGAAGATAGAGGACATTTCTTCAAATTTTAAAAGACTGAAAAGGCAGAAAACTCATCACCAGATCCTGATTCGAGATATAGATTTGTCACAAACTGAATAAAATAAGTTTTATTACCTTCACTGCTCTTAAACTGTAACACAGGAGTAAGAAAAACCCTTTACAAAGATAAAAAGTAATRTAGATATCAAAACTGTTTCAAAATGTAGTTTGGGTCATCTTCTTCTTGTTCTCAGACTTCAAACATTCATACCTATGTAAAATTTCCCTATCTAACAAATGTAGAATGATGAGGCTCCTTCATACCACTGTCCATTATCAGTTCATCTAATAAAAGCACTGGAAACTGCTAAATGGAAACTGCACTGTTGAATGACACAACACTTTTAAATTAGAAGATATAGAATCTAGATAGTAAAGAAGAGCTGAAAATTGATTACACATGATTAACAGATATTGCAGCAATCTTCACAGCAAATGCTGCCAAATCAATGATGACTGGGGGAGATAGGCAAGATGACCGCTAAAGATCCCTTCCAACCTCAACAGTGGTTTGTGGCAAAAAATCGAAGTACTTCTCCGTAACTTACGGTACAAGTTCATATCTTTGTTCAAACCTAAGGGGAATAAAATAATCAAAAAGGAAAATAAAGCAAGATAAGAGGCTAAATCTTTCCACTATTGCTTTATTATACATGGACTTCTTCCTAAAAATTTTAATCCTGCCACTAATACCTGCTTTGTTGAAGATGACAAGCAGGCAGCAGTTTCAAGAAGCTATGAAAACTGCWGAACAGGAACTAATGTAGTAAAAGTAAAATGTGAGAGTGTCCTTTGTCATTCTCTCTATTACAGGAAATTCCTTATGTATTTGGCTCCTTAATCACATTCTTACAAAACTTATTAAAGAAAATCTTGAAATATTACTGTTATAATTTCTGTCAAAAAATCAAGATCCTGAAATTTAAGAACCTCATGTCACTTGAWTTCTGTTTGCCTGAGTAACAAACTTCTGCAACCACTGAAACATCTGTTCTGTAGAAAGTAAAGATAATATCTAAACATGTAATGAAGAACACCCATAATAAGCAGGTTAATAATACTGTCTATATTTTACATAGCAAACACACTCTTTAAGCATTATGGATTATGAGCATCAGCTTCAACTTGCTACCAGGTCAATGGATRTATCTCATAAGCTTTCCAGAAGTGATAAAATGTGTTATAATCACTTGACATAGACTTGGTGAGTAACCTTTCTCACAACACTCAAGAGAGCAATCACAAATTTACCAACATGACAAAGCTCTTAGTTCTAATCTATGCAGCTGTTCATTTGAAAAACTAGAAAAAACTGACTTATTTTACTCATGACTAGTTCCCAGACACATTTTAGAGTTTAACCTAAACACAGAGACTAGAGTTCACTTTCCATACAGCTTGCTATATACCACTACAGGAAACAAGCTAAATCCAGCTATTCCACGCACAACGCTGATTAGGAAACTGACTCAAGGCTGATGACATCTTCATGTTGCATTTCCATTCACACAGTGCTCTGTCATTTTCATATGAAGAAAAGATTTCTTTATCAGCACTCCCTGCTACATAACTCACGAGCAGGGCAGAGAAGAAAAATTATTCTACTACYGCTTCATACATCACATTTAGCAGATAGATATAAAAGGATTTGGAATGAGAATTATGTTTTCCATGTGCATCAACAACAGATTAGTCAAATAACAATCTGTCACTTCATTTTGTTTGATATTCTCTATAAACACTTTTCAGAAATACAACAGTGGAATAAAACATTTTGGAAAAACGTTATATTTTTTTAAGACATAAAAGTAAGCCCTGAAGAATTTGAAGGGCTATGGTGTTACGACAGTACCTAACGGGTTTTTGTCTCTCTCTACAAAATGGTAGAAACGTGATGTGGCTTTTTAAAACTGTATGAATCAGATTGTGTACTTTCTGCAATTTCTCCATCTTTCAAGCAAACGACATTGACAGCTAAGAAATTTACAGTAGGTTGGCTTGTTTTAGGCCGTGAGGCACCTTAGACATTATTTCGGTCACCCAGAAAACCAGGAACTTAWTCTCATCCCTCTGCATTACCTTTTTGTTGCCCGGCCTCACCTGCGTCTCAAGAGCTCAGATGCTGCGACCTGAGCTGCAAGGACACAGGCCGAGCTGCCCCAGCGCCGGCCGGCCAGCGCACCTGGGCGGCTGCTGTTCCCCTCGCCGCCGGGGCACCACGAGGGCCGGGGGTTTCCTCGCTTCTCTGCCCCCCGCACACCTCGGCTAGCGGGGGCGGACACCGTCTGCCCGGCGGGGAGGCGGCCGGAGCTCGGCGGTGACTCACTCGGTGACTCCCTCCTGCGCCAGGCAGACCGAGCCCGTTCCCCGTCTGCGCCGCCGGGCGCCGAGCGAGGGAGCCGGGGGCCAGCGGCCAGCTAAGCGGCTGTGGCCACCGGACAGCCCCACACGGGCACCCGGCTACCCCCTCCGCCTCCAAATCACTACGAGGAGGCGGCCTCAGCTCTCCCTTCCGCGGACAGAACGGACCCGGTCCCCCCGCCCAGCGCGCAGCCCGGGGGTCGCTCTCAGGCACAGGGACCCACCGTCGCCCCCGCCCCGAGCCCCTTCAGCCTGCCCGGTGCACCGCGCCCCACTGACCTGGAGAGATGCTTCAGGATCTGCTTCTTGATAATCCCCGCCATGGTGTCTGCCTGCCCGCGCCCCTCACAACGACCTGCCGGGACCAGGAACGCGCTTCATCCCTGCGCCCGCCCTGCCCGGGGTGGGGAGAGCGCCGGGAGAGGAGCCTCWATCCCCACTCGCGCTCACTCGACGCCCGGCGCCATCTTGGCCGCAGCATCGCCTGGTGACGGGGGCGAGACGGGGCGGGACGGGCCCGGGGCCCCCGCCCCGCGCCGAGAGCAGCGGGCCCGGGCGGGCAGGAGGGGGCAGGGGTAGCGGCAGGGACAGGGGATGGGTGCAGGGGATGGGAGCAGGGCACAGGTGCAGGGCACAGGAGCAGGGCACGGAGCAGGGGCAGGTATAGAGGCCGAGCCCCTGCCTGCCTGATCAGCGTCTCCGTCCCCATTCAGCGCCCAAARCCTCTGCACGCCTCAGCCCCACCGCCCGCCTTTTCCCCGCTGTGCTCCGCCAGTTGTTTCTTTCATCCCTCTTCAGCCTTCCCATCTCCAAAACTCTGAAAGCGACTTTGCATGCCCGCCTGTGGCTCCATCCCTCTTCCCACCTGTGGAGTGTGTCCCAACACCATCAAACGTTTGCTTTGCCTGAGCCTGACCATGGCAGAGCTAAAAGACAGGATAGGTGCAGCTTCTACAACATCACACAAAAGAAACAAGCCTAGATAAGATGAAGAACTCACTGACAAACTTAAAATGCTATGGCAGTTAATTCATATGGATACATATATACATGATTTTTATATTTCCCATACCCAAACTGCTCTCAAACCCCCAAACTTGTAAAATCAGGTTGTTCCTCAGATGCTTACATTTCACTATCTGTGGCAAGTATAAAGGCTATGAATTATTTGATTTTCAAGAAAACAGTCTCTCATGCTGTAGTAAAATCTCCAAGTCAGTTAAGAAATTAATCTTGTGTTAGTTTTGTTCATCCAATAACCGTCTTCTCTGCCAGTCCCTCATTCAGAAAAGGCATMTTGAAGACTTTCAGTGATGAATAACCAAGTATTAACTGGAAAAAGAAAAGAAAGAAAAATATATCAATTAGAAAACAAAAAGGGTTTTCAGATGTGACCCCCACATGCAGGATTGTCCTCTGTAAAAGAGTGAAGAGCTGAAGAGGAAAGAAAGACATCAGATACTATTTTCCCTGCTTCTCATATAYATAACATTAATAATTTAAAAGCAATGAACCAAAACCCTAAGGACCTTCAAGCGAGAAATATGAAGCAGTAATAGAAAAAAATAGGTCAGGAGATGAACATTTTCAATTGATTTTTCCAGACATTTAAAAATCAGTCAGTTGTGTAATACTGACCTCAATATATTCCTAAGGAGATTTATAAAGTAGGAATGAGCTGTGTATGAAGCTAACACTTTTATGCCTGTTTTAATTTCAGTTTTCTCTACAAAGAAAAAGTCTACCAGWATCATGGAGAAACAATGCTCATCATCATGATGGGTCAGCTTGTCATCAAGAGAGAAAATACAAGGGTTAGAGAAAGCAGGACCCATGCCATGTATTCTCTTTCAARTGTCCTGAAAGCATAGCTCTGGCAGAACAGGGGAAGGCTCTTCACTGATGTCAGAACTGAAAACCAGAAATATTTTTGTCCAACAGGATTGATCTGAATTGTGACCTCATACTGTACCCCAGTCTGGAGCACACTATGTGGAGGAACAGAGAAAAATGCACAGATAACACACACCACACCCTCCCCACCCAAAAGGGGTTAGAAGGGCACCAACTTTCAATGTTGACTTTAGACCTTTCCAGTCACCATGGACCTGCATGGTGATCCCTAGACTGTCGGATTCTTGCTAATACCACCAGTCCTAACCTTGATCCTGACTTGGGGATTGTTTTATGTGCTTGACATTGGACCTGCTTCATTTTCAGATGTTTGCTTCATAACCTGGGCTCTGGGCTTCACTCCCATGCCTGCCTGCCTTGTTCCCCGGCTAGGGGTGGTGGGACAGGCCCTGGCTAGCCAGGCCCTCCCTGCTGGCCACAGTACCCCTCCCAGCTCCTAGATTCTCTCCCTCACAGACCAGGTGGCACTCATGTCAACAAGAAAGAGCCTCACTTGTGAGCATATTAAGATACTAAAAAGATTGCAAAGAGGAAAATTGTCTTATATTTGCCATAGGTATTTTTAGGGCTATTTGTGAACATAACAGAATTTGTGAATTCAACAKAACACCCAAGAAGCCATGGATGTAGTAAGTTTTCCCTCAAGCAGTCATCTCACCCACTAGCCTGCCCTTCACCATCACTTAAATAAAGGTATGTGGAGTACAGTTCATTGATGCAAAGTCCARGATAACAACCCCCATGTGTCAAAGGGTGCAGTAACTTCTTCCTCAAGCATATCTTTCTTTGGATGTTCTAAACAACCTGGAAATTCTGTACTTGGCACCATTCAGTCACTCTGAGGCTGCTCGTTCCTGCAGAGTGGAGCCAAAAAGCCCCTGTGCTTTGTACAGGTCGTGCAGAGTGTTTGATTCTTTCTCAGTTTCATGTGGTCATGGGGATTTCTTACCTTTAAAAACCAGAATGGAGCTGAGAGGAAAAAACCRAAACCAACTGGAGCTCAAGCAATTTCAGAAACATGAAGGTCACAGAATTATTAAAAACATATTTATTGTTTTYCCCATTAAATAAAGTATTATGAGAYGTAGTAAAAGAACAAACTAAATTTGATTTAAGTTTCAGTGAGTGCTTTGTATTATACTTGCAGATTGACAAATTTGGCATAGCTTCTTATGGATAATGCAATAGATAATGGTCTGTCTTCAAATGCAGATGTGCAAGCCTTAAGTGGTCTGACAGACCATTATGCAAAGAGCATCACAAAATATCAGTTCTCACTATTCTAAGGGGCAATGTACACGGTTTGCTACCACACGGRCTTTTGAAAGTCCTATTTATATGTCCTTGTTGTGTGGCTGACCTTCTCTGTGTTACATACTCKAACAAAAACAGAAAATATTATCAAACATGCCATTGCAATTATGGGTGCATGTGTAAACAATCTCAATAAGCATGTATGAATTGCCCTCAAGTAGCAGTGACAGTAAATATACCAACTTTAGTTTGAAGAGATTTTAAATATTTATGTGTATCAACCACTACACATAAATCTAAGTGGACTCTTAAAAGCCAGGCACTTGTCCTAGGCTCTAAAAAGAAAAGAAAGGAAAAAATGAAAGCAACTGAATCTAACACAAGTCACTGAATGATAACAGATGAAGCTTCATAGAGCTGGAGCTAACACTTAGAAGGGGAAAAGTAATTTACTAAATTCTGGCTTTCACCTTTATTTTCACAAGGCAAAAGTTACCAACAGATATTAGCATTTTTGAATCTAAGCAATTCTTCTAAGAATTTTAWATTAGTTAAAGGATGAAGTAAAAGTTATGTGATTTTAGGAGTAATATTTTATGTTTCTTTATAACACTGAATATCTAAAATATTTTTTTACTATTCTCTATTTTGTGTATTTTGGACTTTAATTACAACCCCAAAATTTACTATGACTATACCTGTCAGCAGGCAAAGAAGCAGAACACCCACACTTTACAGTGTTCTTTAAAAGCACCCAAGAGCTCCTGAATTTGAAAAACAGGCTTTTTAAAATTCCTGTGACCTCTTCTCAAGAACCAAATAATGTATCTGCTAGAGTGAGGATTAAGGATGCTGTCCTTAAGATACACTTCCTTTATAAGCACATAAAGAGGATTTGTCTAAAAGCAGATTGCTATGTGTTCCAATGAACATCCTGGCTCATGGAAAGACATTTGATATTTGTTAGGGCAAAGAGTCATCAAACAGAGTAACAGTTATTTTTAAGCTAAGAAAAGTCAATCACACATAAATACAAAACTGTAAGGCTCTATTTTACTGGATTACAACACAGGAAATAGTGATGATGTCCCGTCCCGCTTGAGAAGAGGGAGTCGGGGAGGATTCTTTTAATAGATTTCTTGCACAAAAAAATAAAGCGCAAACGCGGCAATATTATATCTGAGAACTGTTTATTGATAAAGAAGGGTAAGTGTTCCTCCCACTTCCATTCAAGTGGGGATAGAAAAGGGAACAAAGAGGGAAAAAGAGAAACGGAGAGAGCCAGAATAGCAGACAGATTGTTACCGCTGTACCCCGGGCACCCCGTGGGTGTCCGCTCGGCACAAGGAGCGTGTGCTGCGAACCGCGAGGAGCCTGCGCGGCTCCCGAGGCGGGCTGGGCGCGATTTCCAAACAGCAGCGGCTGCGTGTCCCTCCCGTCGGCGGAGAACACGGTGCCGTGGCTACGGGCACACTGTGGGATCGCTGCGGCTGCTGTGGGCAGGCTGGGGCTGCGG